GTCAAAGTAGTTTCACTGATTACGACAAATGTACCATCTAGAGTGGATGTGGATTATGAGGGAGGAGTGCGTGTGCGGGGTCAGGGAGTGTACGGGAAATCTGTGTCTTCTGCTCAGTTTTGCTGTGAACCTAAAACTACCCCCCAAATAAAGTCTTTCAAAAGTGTTAGATGTTAAGATCCTTAGAAACAACACTTTAAGGAATCCTAGCTGTATACCATAGATTAGGAAAACATCATGTGCAGTTCCAATTTCTGGCAAAAGCTGAATTGGCAGCAGGAGGAAGAACAGAGTAGGAGAGAGGTGGGCCAAGCTGAAGTCCACTCAGTTTGGCTGCATGACCTGCCCTTTTCTGGCCCTCCACCGTGCAGGCCTGCTCAGGCTGTGCTGGCATCCATCATGGTCCTGGCCTCACCCACAGCAGATGGTGTAATGGCCTCTCAGAAGTGAGGGGTGAGCACTCAGAGCTGGGCTGACAGGAGTGCAAACGGGGACGGGGCACCTGGGGACAGGTGACTCCCCAGCACTGCCACCCACCCACTTGCCTGGAGAAGAGGTGGGGGAGTGAAGGGCTGAATCAAGGGCTGCCTGGGCAGCTCTGGGCCACACGCCCAACCACGCGAGTCTGCCTGTCTGTAAATGCGGATCCGAAGGCCCGGACCTGAGAGGGAGGGACGTGGCTGGCACAGGAGCCTGACCCCAGGCTGTGGAGGATGCAGGATGAAACCAGGGCCAGTGAAGGGGCTGCTCTGCTAGCTCCCTGCGGGGATGAGGTCCCTTCCCAGAGGCACACAGGCGAGGACAAGCCTTGGGGCAGGGGCAGGTGTACGCTGGGGTCAACCCTGCCTGGTGGCGCTGAAACCAGAGGGAGCCAGAGTGGGTGTGGCTCTGCCTTGGCTGTACGGTCTCACATTTTCAATATTGTCAAGTGATGATAAGATACTTCTGTCACAGCTGGTCATTCTGTACCACTTAATGATCGCAGTCACATGACTGATGACCCTGGTAAATCATCTTTGTAAAAAAATGCAGACAGACCAGTCTTGTTCACAGCCTTTGCTATCCCCCAAATGTGGGAGAGTAGAAACCTACCATCGCACAGTGTTGGGGGAGGGTAGCCTTCCCAAAAGGGAACCAACGGAGTATGCTGGACATTCTTACAAACCACCAGTGACAGAGAAGTTCACAGAGCAAACCCCAAACCCTTCACCCATCTCTTCTCACTCCGCTATCCTCCTCAAAGCGCTGGATGTGCTTCCTTCCAGTCCGCCCTGTATGTGCACGCGTGCACACACACGCTTTGTATGTTCACCTGGGGCTCCAAGCACACTGTTCGGCGGGCTGCTCCTCTCACAGGCTGACGCGTCTGGGCTGGCACACACAGTGTGTGGTCAGTGGGCCGAGCTGGTCCTTACAGTGTCCAGGCCCGCGAGGAAAGGACACAAAGTGAGAATACGTGTTAGGACGTCAGGGGCTTTGAAGTAATTTGGAAGGGCCACATTTTTATTGTACTTGACAAAAGAATCATCCACAGTGGACTGGAGCTGAATGCGGAAAGCGGGCTGTCTGTCCCTCTTGTTTGAGAAGCGCTGTGTGGAGATGGCGCCTGCTGGGGATGCGGGCGCCCCTTCGTTCTCTTGAGGGCTGAGCAGCATCCAAGTTCCGACTCCGATGTCCCACGGATGAACACCTGGACCTTCCCAATAACGTTCTTACTGTAATAAAAACGCTGTCAAAAATATCCTTGTATGGGCTTCCCTGGTGGCGCAGTGGTTGAGAGTCCGCCTGCCGATGCAGGGAACACAGGTTCATGCCCCAGTCCGGGAAGATCCCACATGCCGCGGAGCGGCTGGGCCCATGAGCCATGGCCGCTGAGCCTGCGCATCTGGAGCCTGTGCTCCGCAACGGGAGAGGCCACAACAGTGAGAGGCCCACGCACCACAAAAAAAAAAAAAAAAATATATATATATATATATATATCCTTGTATGTACATCTTTTTCAGATCTGTGAGAAAATCTTTTAAAAGAATCTCTAGGGGAAGAGTAGCTTATTCAAAGGGTACGAACATTAAAAAATTTGAGAGATGCAGCCAAATTGCCCTCCAAAAAGGCTTCACCAGGGAAGGTTCCCGCGGAGGCAGGGTGTCCCCCACACTCTCCTGGACAATGAGGGTGGGACTTTTTAGTCTGGGCGTAAACTTGATGCTGACTTACTTGCCCGCCTCAGACTCCTGCAGAGGCGCGTGGCGTCCATACCCTTGTCAGTTCTGTGGATTTTCTCCTGTACGTGCCATCCAGCATTTTGCCTGTGATCTACAGATGCCCATTTTGGGTACTCATTCGTTTTACCTGTCAGGTATGTTGCAAACATTTCCCGAGTCTGTTATTTGTCTTTTATCTTTGCTTACAATGTCTTTTCCTTAGAGATATACTAAGATGTAATGAGGGACTTCCCTGGTGGCACAGTGGTTAAGAATCCGCCTGCCAATGCAGGGGACACGGTTTAAGCCCTGGCCCAGGAACATCCCACATGCCACGGAGCAACTAAGCCTGAGTGCCACAACTACTGAGCCTGCACTCTAGAGACCGTGAGCCACAACTACTGAGCCCGCGTGCCACAACTACTGAAGCCCGCACGCCTAGAGTCTGTGCTCCGCAACAAGAGAAGCCACTGCAATGAGAAGCCCACGCATCGCAACGAAGAGTAGCCCCCGCTCGCTGCAACTAGAGAAAGCCTGTGCACAGCAATGAAGACCGAACGCAGACAAAAAAAAAAAAAAAAAATTAAAAAAAAAGATGTAATGACATCAAATCTGTTGATTTTTGACTTTTCCATGTTTATGTGGTTTTAAACTTTTTAAGGGGAGCCTTCCTCATGCTTGGGATTGTTGCAAAGATGCACTGAGTCAATATGTGCATAGCCAATGGGCGAAGGGCAGTTGGAGCTGAATGCCACATCTCTGCACATATGGAAGTCTTAGAAAATGAAGGAGGTAACAAGCACAGATGCAGAAGAAAGTAGAGAGTTATGGGCCACTATGTGCCACTCTACGGTAGTACTTTAAAGGCTAGGAACTCTGGATAGATTTCCAGCAAAATGTAAACGTCCAAAATTGATCCAGGAAGAGGCAGAAAATCCATACAGACAAATCACCAGAGAAGAAAATGAAAGGTGGTTAAAAGTCTACCACTAATGAAAACACCAGGCATGGAAAGTTCTATTGCTGAGGTCGCTCCAACTTTCAGAGAAGGCTGCAAACTTGGTCACTAGGGATTTGCGGCTTTCTCTGACACTGGGAGGCACAGGGAGCAGGCCTGGGGAGAGGAGTTCAGTCAGATTGGGGCCTGGCAATGGAGGGTCTGCACCGATCAGGGGCTCCTCTACTGGATGGATGGGCGATGGATGAGTGAGGGATGGATGGGTGGGTGGGTGGGTGGGTGGGTAGGTAGGTGGATGACTCAAATATTTGGCCATGAGGCCCGCTGATTACAGGAAGCCACAATGAGGAGGAAAGAAAAGTTCACTGGGATAAAAGGTCAGAGGGAGAGGGAGGCATGGCTGTGATCAAAAAGGTCTGGGGCCTCAAGGGCTGGGAGAGGGAACCCTGGCAGTGGCAGGGCTTGGCACGGAGGCCAAGGTTAAGGGGCAGGAAGGTTCAGATGTGGGAGGGAATGGGGTAGAATTAAGAAATGGAGCCCTTGGGGCTTCCCTGGTGGCGCAGTGGTTGAGATGCAGGGGACACGGGTTCATGACGCAGTCTGGGAGGATCCCACATGCCGCGGAGCGGCTGGTCTCGTGAGCCTGCTGGGCTGGGCTCGTGAGCCTCCTGGGCTGGGCTCAGCCTGCCACTGAGCCTGCGCATCCGGAGCCTGTGCTCCGCAACGGGAGAGGCCACAACGGGAGAGGCCGCGTACCGCAAAAAAAAAAAAAAAAAAAAAAAAAAAAAAAGCTACTATTATCGTACACACAGCTCAGTGCTACGAAGGGACCGGGGATGGATGTTCCGCCCGACCTCCTTCCCCTTCAGTGGGAAGTGCTTTCTGGGCACTGCAGTGCTTGGGGGTGAGGAGGACCCTTGAGGGAAGCCAAGACTCTAGTTAGCCAAGAGGAAGCATTCTGCAGACACCCCATGGGTGCACTGGGGTGCTCTGCTTCCAGTAGGAAACACAAGCCTGGAGCCTTGCTCCTCAAGGAGGTGAGCTGTCATGGAGAGAGGGGATGGCTTAGTTTCAAGTCGACAACAGGGTAGAATCCCAAAGCTCCCAGACTCTGGGATCATCACAGTGACTCAAAGCTCTTGCTGGAAAAGGACAGACAAGCAGAAGCCACAGAAGTTGAGGGGTAAGCTGTGAGAAAGCGGCCTGTGCCCCAGCTGCAGGAAAACCGAGGGGCTTAAGGCAGAGGCAGCACGAGTGCCACTCAGCCAGGCTGGGTGACCCGGGGGTGCTTGTGAGAACTGGATGGTGCCAAGGCGCCAGGAGAGGCCCAATGTGTGGTGGCTCTGGTGGGTTCCATGGGCCCCTTGCTCAGGAACCAGCACCCAAGACCCCCACGGGCAGCCTGGGTGTCTGCGGTCCACAGCCCCGGCCTCTCGGCTGCACCGCATACACTGTCGCCTTTATCTCGAGGAAGCTGAGGCCCGAGCCGGCCTGGGAACCCGTCAGCCTTTGCCGTCACCACAAAGCCGCATAGAAACACCAGCTGCTTTGCTAACCTGCGGTATTTTTCTCACAGATGCTGCCAGAGGAGTGGGTTCACGGAATTCCCACTGCAGAGATGAAGCCAAGCTCTGTGCCTGACTCCTGACCTGGCCGCTCCACAGGGCGGCTCTGTTCTCCCTTCTGAACCCCCACCCCCCCACGCCCCGCCAGCCTGGCCGGCCCTCCTCCCTCTGGCCCTCTTCCGGTCCCCCCACCGCGGCTCTTCTGTTGCCAGCATCCCCAACCACACGGCGCAGGCGATGCTGGGCCGGGGGGCGGGGGGGGGGGTGGTGACCCACCAGTGAGGTGGCCCAGCTCTGCACGCAGCCGGTTCCCCAGCTCCAGGAGCTGCTCCTTCTCCAGGTGCAGCTGCAGGATTTTCCTGGCTGCCTCCTTGAGCTTCCTCTGGAGTCGGGGCACAGACAGGGCCTGAGGGGGCTGTGCCTCCTGGTCCTCGGTCCCTGCGGGTCCTCCACGTGCCGGGCCCTGTGAACAAATCCACACAGCAGAGGCACAGGACTCAGATGAGTCCTGGAGGGGAACGGGAAGTGGGAGTGAGGGTGCAGATGGTGGGTGCCACCGCCCGAACGACTGTCCCAGAACCCACATCGCTGGGTGACGTCCCTCCAACATGATGCATCCATGCCCACCTTCTCTCTCGGGGGGGCGGGGTTGGGCTGGGGGTGTGCTCTGAATGAAGGCCCTCGAGGCTCCCAGGCCAAGGCCTGCCTGCACTTGGTGACTCTGTGCCCTGCCCCAATGCCTTTGTCTTTCCAGTGACAGTGAGGAGCCAGCTGGCACCCAGGCCTGGGCTCCCTCCAAAGGTGCCCCCGGGACCCAGGAGGGCTACACGTGTGATCCGACCCCCTTCGAGGGCCCCATGGTCACAGGCTGGGTGCCTGCTGGCCGCCTGGTGTGGAAGGGGGCTGGCAGAGACCCAAAAGGTGGCCTGGAACGGGAACCCAGCCTCCATTACTCTCTTCCCCTTGCCCTGGACGTCTGCACTGCTGGGCCCCTCTGCCCTGGGCCCTTCTCCAATGCCTCCCCTGCCTTCATTCACTCAGTACCTTGCCTTCCCTGCCTCCTCTCTGGCTCCACCCATCCATACTCCCATCTCAGTCATTTCTCTACCTGCCATTCAGACTCCCCTCCACCACCTGCAGGCCAGCCCAGGTTTCCCACCATCCTGACCCGGACGAAGGTGCCAGAGAGAAAGCAAAGGAGGCCAAGGGAGGGAGCAGTGGCCGCCTGGGGCCTCCGCTTCTGGGCCTGGAGGCTGCCTTGGGCCAACACCCGAGGTCTGAACCCCGTTGCTCGGGCAGCACCACGCGGCCCTACATCCTACCACTGTCCCAGTCTGGACTCACACACAGATGTGTGCTCCCACCCAGAGGGGTATTTGGAATGGGGTGGGTGTGGGGAAAGGAGAAAGGGAAAAAGGAGAACGTGTGTGGCTGCCTCTGTTCCAGGCAGGGGCCCAGGAGGAGCCAGTGGCGTCCAAGGCCCCAAAGGAGGCAGGTGGCCTACTTAGGCATGGCTGCTCCTCACACCTATGAAAAACCGCATTGTGCCGTCCCAGCCACTCGAGCTGGCGCCAGAACAAGGAATCTGCTCTACGTCCCTGGAAGAGACCAGCACGCCCTGTCCTGGCCCTGTTTCTTGGTGTGCCTTTCCAGGGCTGGCAAGCACCTGTGCCCTCCTGTGGCCTGGGAGCTACGGTGTTTGCACACCAGTGCCTCCAGCATATGCCTGACGTATTGGCATGAAGCGGGGCGTGGAGGTGATGCGGTAAAGCGACCATCAGAGAAAGGCCTCCGCCCCGCGGCCCGGCTCGGGGTCTCTCGAGTGTACAGGACCAGGGCCGGTGGGGGGCTGTGTCTTGGAGACCTGTAGCATGGATTCACACACGGGGCTGCACAGGCCCCAGGCGGCTAACCCGACCCGTTGGGAAAGGTACACAACCTCCAGGGATGTAGCCCTGGGATTGGGGGACTGGCCAGGCCACTCTTTCTCCAGGCTTTGTCCTCTACAAGGATATGCTGTGGGATTCTCTTGTGTTATTTTAAGTAAGGAAAGAACAATCCTGAAAACAGAGACTGTGCAAAACTCAGAACACTTAGAGATTTAAAAATCTCTTCAAAAGCAGGACACCACCCTGCAAAGATGGCCCTGGCCTGAGCTGAGGAACATGCTGCCTGAGGCGTGACCTCAGGCGTGGCTGGGCTCGGGGATGGGGAGTCCTGATCTTGAGTGGCCCATGTTCTTGTCACACAGTGACTGCACGCGATGAGCGGGTGCTGCAGCTGGGCCCCACCTCTCTTAAGCTTAGTTCCTGGTAAGATGAAGCTTATTTTGATGACTCTAAAGTCTCACCCCACAATGACACAATGCTAATAATGACCTGAGATGCCCAGGAGCTTCTGCACTGCTGCGTTCAGGGCCCAAGGTCCCACCCTGTGATGGCCCCATCCACCTGCCCTCGCCTGCTCTGGTGCAGGTCCCAGCATCCTGGCCAGAACGGAACATCCACGCAGCAGAGGGAAAGCTTGAGGCATCCTAATGACAACTCTGTTCCCAAGGGAAGGGAGTGCCTGGGCTCCTTGAAGAAGCCCTGCGGGGAGGCTGAGGCCCAGGGAGAGGCAGCGCGGGCTCCCTTGGGGCAGGTTCCCAAGCTTCCAGGCAGAGCCAGAGGGATCGCCAGCCAACACTGCCCCCCAGCGGTCCGAGGTGCCCGGTGGGAAGGCCTGGGGAAACCCAGCATCCGTCTGTTTGGGGCCTGGGCAGGGCAGCCTGCAGGAGGGAGGGGCCTGTGTGAGCCGAGAACCACGGAAGTGTGACAATGCAGCCACCTGCCCCACAGGGTCTCCTGTGACTGCGGGGAGCTCCAGGGTCTGCAGGTCCCTTCTGGGCTGGGGTGCTGGCTTTTGTGTGGCAGGGTCCCACCCCCACAGAGCAGCTGCAGGGATGGCCCGAGGCCCACGCCCCTGTCTCACTGCTGGTGGTTCCTCCCCTCTCCACACACATCTCTCTCTGAACCATCCGAGGGTGAGTTGGAGACATCGCACCCCTTTATGCCCCAGTACTTCAGCTTGTACTTTCTGAAAACAAGGACATTCTCTTAATAACCAGTTATTAGAACCAGAAATGTCACAGGGTCGTGGCATTATGACCTAGCGCACAGTCCACAGGCACCTCCACCAGCTGCCCAGAGGAAGTGCTTTATGGCCTGTTCCTCCTGCCCGGGGTCCAGGACCCTGCATGGCTTCTGCATCCTGGGTCCCCTAAGTCCCCAGCAGAATGTTCTCAACAGGACAGGCTGTGGGTTTAGTGCCCCTCGGTCTGGGTCTGTCCTTGGAGTCAGGAGGTCTTGTGCTTGGAGTTAGGAGTGAGGCTGTGTCCCTCTCCTGTCCGGAGGCTCGTGATGTCCGTCTGTCCCAGTGTTGGCAATGGGAGCTGATCTCTCGGAAGTGGCGTCCACTGGCTGTAGCACCAGAAAGTTACTGTTTTCCCTTTCCAATAAGAAGAACTTCTGGGGAGATTCCACATAAACAGCTTGTCCAGAATTTCAGCATCTGATGACACCCCCCGGCTGTGTCATTCCCTTCATGTCCTTGGTTGATGTTCTAAGTAAGGGTTTTCCTCTCTCCATTCTTTCCTTGTCGGTTTATTTGCAGCAGAGTGAATGCGACTCCCTGTTTTAGTAGGTAGCTGATGACCCTGACTTCATGACTGACTGGCCTAGATCTGGTCAGTGGGAGCCCTTTATGCTGGCTCCTGCATCCCTGTCATGTCTCTGTGGTGGAATTGGCCACTTACCCTGGTTCCTCTCAGCAGAGCAGGAAGTTCGGGAATGCGATCTAGGCACTGGGTGCGCTCACCCACCCTGGGGAGCCACTGCCCCTTGGCTCCTGGTGGACAGAGCCGGGGTATGTGCACACCTCTCTCTTTAAAGTAACCCACGAGTTTACTGTGGTGACTCCAACCCCAACCTGAGCCCCAGAGGCATCCTAGCCCTACCGACCACCTTCTTCCCCAGCCTCAGAAGCCTGGTGCCCACATCCTCTTCTCTGGGCACCCAACACACAGCTGGGCAATTACGAGCAGAGCCTGGGTGGGCCTGGCCTGGGCAAAGGGTTTCCTGTGCCTCCAATTTCTCACCCTGGGAGTGATCTCACCAAGGTCACAGGATGCCTAGACCTGGAAGGAGGTGGGACCCTGATAGCCATGCAGAAACTAAGGCCCAGAGAGCTCACTCAACACCCACCTTGAGAGAGCGGCCTTGGGCCTCAAGTCGCTTCAGGTCCCAGGCTGTCTGCCAAGGGATTAAATACCTCGATTTTAACTTCCACTCATTTGCATGGTTTCTTCCCCCTTCACTCTAAACAAGGGGATCAGAGTTATGCGAGGGCTGCTAACAGGAGAGCTGCAAGGGTCCCTGGGCTGCAGTGAGCCCCTGGCAGCACCTGGAACAGTCATGGCCATGGCGGGAGAGCAGACACATCACCAATGGCATTTGCTGCCCAGCTGGGCCCGGAGCCTCTGAACTTAACTCCTGGATTACAGGACTGTGGGGAGGTCTGGGGCTCTTGGGGACAGCATCCACCTACCGATGGCACAGAGGGTTCAGTATCCCACTTCTGGTGCCCCCTCGGGGCTCAGGCTCCCTCAGCTTCCCCCTCACCAGCCCATCTCCCTCTGCAGGCACTCCTCATATGTTCGCCCCTGCCAACGCACAGCTGGCCCCCTTCATGTTCCTTAAGCCAGATAGTGTCCTGGGTTGCATCTTCTCCATTCCAGGTCCTTCACAGTCCCCGACAGTAGGTCCTGGAGCCTGGTCCCTCTTGTGTCCTTAAGTATCACTCTCAAAACTTGGCCCATGTGATGAGAACCACTGGGGGGCATATGATCGATGCTACTTCTGCCTGAGGACTCTTGATGCCTTCCAGACATCATTTTACTGTCCTTAAAACCTTCTGCTTATGAATAGGTCACCATGTGCAACCACAGGTAACACAGGTAATCACAGGTCACAGCAGGTAATGCAGGTAATCACAGGTAACTGCAGGTCACCATCTGTGACTGCAAATAACCGTAGGTAACTGACAGGTCTCGGGAGGCATGTCACACGACGCCCTATGAAGAAAGCCCATTCTTTGCAGCACTTCCATCATGGTGTTCAGGAAGCAGGAAGGTGGCCTGTCTGGCAGACATGTGGGGACAACGTGCTGCTGCTGAGCTCTTGCCCTGGCCTGGGACCTTGGCTTAAACCCAGCCACGGAACTGGAGGGGAACTGGGTGCCAAGGGCCTGACCAGGACCAGGACGCCAGGTGGCCTGGTGGCCCGTGCTCCGGACAGCATCTCAAACACTCTGAGAAGCTCATGAGAACCACAGGCTCCATCCCTGAGGGTCCTCTGGAAGGAGAGCCCACCATGTTGCATCCATTTCAGGGCTTCCCAGGCCCTTGAATCACACAGTCAAGGATTCCTGTGTTAGAGGACACCGAACAGTCCTCTTCATGTGTGCAGCCTCCCTACATGCTTTTAAAGGGATCTCAGCGACCTGGAGGATGAGGGGCTTGGCAGCCCTTGACAGCGTCTGTGGAGAACAGTCCCGACAGAGTCAGCCTAGTCAAGGAAGAAGAGGGAGGCCGGGGCAGGCAGGCGGGCCCCTCAATGGCCAAGACTGCACCCCAGACCAGTCCCGCACAGGACGCAGAGCACCCACAGGGCACCCACCTCTCCCCCGACAGCCTCGGTGTCTGAGGCGTGCGGTTGCTGCCTGCCTGAAGCACCCCCGCCTTCCTTCTGGGCTGACCTGAGATGCTTCTCAATCTCAGCCACCTGCTTCCGCAGCTGCAAAACCTCCAGGTGCACCTGGTCCAGCTCGTGGGGAAGCTCTCGCTGGATGGTGTCCATGTCCAGGGGTTCCTGCAGCACCTGGGAGGCCGTTTCAGAGACAATGTTAGGAAGGCAGCCAGCTCTGGGAAGGGGTCTGGAACAGATATGCAGGGAGGACAGGGAAGCAAGAGAAGGGCAGCAGTAGGTGGTAGAACGTCCAGAAAGATCAGAAGGACACATGCCGGTCAGCCTCCTCTCTCTGGCCGAATTCCATCACCCACAGGCCTGCAGTCCCACCGCCAAGCTGTGGCTCTTCCGGTCCCACCTAACCAGGCTCCCAGGCGGCTCCACTTGTCGCCCCCAGAGTGGGGACGCGGGCACCTGCAGCAGAACCTACACCGGACCCAAGGTTGGTTGGGGAGAGTCCCTGCACGGTGTCTGGACAGTGGGCCTTAAAACCTTCTTCCTGGGCCCTAGTCCCAGGTGGAGACAAAGGGCACGTAACCGCAGGCAGGGGTGGGGAGGCCCAAGCCTATCAAAAGGCAGAGGTGGATGAAGGCGTAGGAAGAGGCAGGAAGGGAAGTCCTGGCTGCACGAACAACCTGGGGCAGCTGCGGGGCAGCTAGGAGGTGCCCGAGTAGAGCCCTGGCCAGAGCTCCAGGGCCGCCCCGTCCTTCAGCTACCTCTCTCGACAACGTCTGCTCTCCCAACATAAGGAGGGGAAAAGGACAGGTAGAAAGACAGACACACCTCTCTACACCCTCAACTTGCCAATTTTATTCTCAGGAAGATAAAATATCTTCCTATTCGAGGGCCTCCTACAAAGAATTCATAATGAATATTTTATTCTATTTATTCACATACACTAAAAAAATGACCATTCGATAAACATACACTGTTAACTAAAAAACACTTCAAGGTATACTTTTTTCCTCAGGATAATCAAACCATCTATCATTATCAAGACAGGATTAAAAGCTCTTATTTACATGTTTATTTCCTGTTTCTGGCATGTGGGGGGATGTAACATCCCGATGGTGGGGCAGAACTGGGAAAGGGCAAGCATCTGAAGACCCCCTCCTCTCATATGTGACATAGGTCTGTAATCCCAGAAACAGAAAAGTGGTCCAGTTCATCTCCACTGCAACAGCAAAAATGAACTTTCAGCCAAGACAAGGCATCTGATTTCTGGGCATTGCCTGCTCCCCACAAAAGACAGAAATCGCCAAGCAATGTCTGTCACCAGCCAGGTGTTCTGTTCCATGGAAGATGCAGAGTCTGCAGGATGGTGTAACCTATGTACTTATGGACTTGAAAGGGCACATGAAAACGGCCTCATGGGAAAGAAACGTCACAAGGCGACAGAGTGGCATAACACCACCAGCACCAGCAGTAAGGGCTGTGTTCCCAGGGACATTGTCAAGACCATGAAAAGACAAGCTAGAGAATGGGAGAAAAAGTTTGCAAATCATATATCTGGGGGACTTCCCTGACGGTCCAGTGGTTAAGACTCTGTGCTTCCAATGCAGGGGGAGTGGGTTCGATCCCTGGTCGGGGAACTAAGATCCCACATGCTGCGGTGTGGGGAAAAAAAAAAAAAAAGTCATATATCTGACAAAAGACTTGTATCCAGAACATACAAAGAACTCTGAAAACTCAACAACACAATAAACAGCCCGATTAAAAATGGGCAGAGGATATTCATGGACATTTCTCCAAAGAAGATATACAAATGGCCGATAAGCACATGAAAACATGCTCAACATCATTTTTCATCAGGAAAATGCAAATCAAAACCACAGGTCAGGTCCACCTCACACCCACTAGAACGGCTAGAGTCAAAAAGACAGCAAAAGCAGCCGGTGCTGGTGAGGACGCGAGACACGGGGACACTCGTGCACCTGCTGGGGGTGGAAAGTGTGCAGCTTCTGTGGAAACATTAGTGGCTCTCCAATAAGTGAAATATAGAATTACCCTGTGACCCAGCAATTCTACTCCTTCATGCATACCCCGAAGAACTGAAACAGGGACTTGGACAGACCGCATTCACGGCAGAATGTGTCCACCACATTCACGGCAGCCAAACAGTGGAAGCAACCCAAGTGTCCAGCAGATGAATGGGTACACTAAATACGGGGTACTCTCCAGTTACTAAGAGGAAAGAAGTTCTGACACCTGCTACAACATGGATGAACGTTGAGGACATTATGCTGAGTGAAATGAGCAAGTCACAGAAGGACAGGTGCTGCATGATTCCCCTGATATGAGGCTCCCCGAGGACTCAGGCCCGTAGAGGCAGAAAGAGTAGAGTTTACCAGGGGCTGGGGGTGGGGAACAGGAAGTTAGTGTTTAATGGGGACAGAGTTTCTGTTCAAATGATGAAAGAGTTCTGGGAACAGACCCTGGTGATGGTTACACGATACTGTGAATATACTTAACGTCACTGAATTGTACACACAAAAATGGTAAACTTTATGTTATGTATATTTTACCAGAATTTAATAAAAAGCACTAAAAAAAAAGAGATATCATGAATTAATAGCAATAAAGCACAGTTTGTGACACCAGCACCATCATGCCAGGGCGGAACTGCACTGGAGTTTGCCTAGCTGTCCTGCCTCCCCAGGAAGCAGTGGGTTGGCCGAGTACCTGGTGACAACCCGTCCCCAAGGAAGGCAGGGCCAGGGGACAGAAAGGGTCGCCACTGGCCAAGGCATCTAGAGTCACAGTGATGATGAGCACACGTTCCTGCCACAGCTTGGTGCCTGGGTTTAACACGGGTCCCGGGACTCGCCCAGCACGTCCTGGGAGGGCAGAGATGGGGCCCTGCACATTGACGGCCAGCACTGCCCCTCATGCCCTGGACTCTCCTCTCTCATCTACCAGGTCCTCACTGCGTGCCTTCTAGGGACACACGAGAGGTGAACCAGCTGCTCCTCACAACAACCCCTTCCTTGCACGGAACCTGAGGCACAGAGAGGCCACAGCAGGTTCCTGGGGTTCAGTGCCACCCCAGGAGTGCCTTCAGTCGGAAGACCTACACAGTCTAGCATCAGAGGGCAGCCATACCTTCTGTCTGAGTTGTGCCACCAGGGAGCTCAGGAGATGTGCCCTGTCTCCAACCCTCTGGAGCGCCAGTCCCGTGGATGGACCATCGACCGGCACAGCTCCTCCTGCAGAGAGAGAGATTTTTGTCAGACTCACATCTCCGAAAGCCCTGGGAACTTCCAACTGCCTGTCCTCCCTTTGAGGAGATGGACATCTGAGGCATCCAGGGCAGAGGTGTGTTCTTCTCTGCCTTCCCCTAAGGATGCCTACTGTCACTGCTGGTCTGCTGTGACGTTAAGATGTTCTAAAGCTGAGTGGATGCAGCTGGGTGCCCCCAAAGACTGAGATGAGCTGCACATGAAGAACAATCCTTATGCCAAGAAAGCAGGAGTCTTCGTGGAGAAAAAAATCCAACCTTTCCAGCTAGTGTCTGGTAGAGGCCAACCTGCATAGCCTCCTGGTCGTTTGGCTGGGAATTAAGAAAATGTCCACGAACCCACAGGTCAAAGAAGAAATCACAGTGGACATTAGAAATTATTTTGAACTGATTATCATAAAAGCACTGCTTATCAAACTTAAGGAATGCATCTAATGCTGTCCTTTCAAAAGTATTTATAGCCATACAAGCTTATTTTAGAAAAGAAGGATGAAAGATAAATGAACTGAACATCCATTTGAAAAATGAGGAAAAAAAGCAAATAAAGTACAAGGAAGGACAGAACAAAGTCAGTATTAGATGCTGAGGAAACAGAAAACAACGTGCAATAGAGGGTGAATAAGACCAGAGGAGGTTCTTTGAAAAAGTTAAGTCCCTGGTGAGATTAAGCAGGAAAAATGGACAGAGACAATACAGCAGATGGAAAGGCTGTTACTTTAGATCCTGGGGGCTGTGAAAACGTGTGGAGAATACACTCCCCAAAGCAACTTTATACCAAATTTTTGAATATTTAAATGAAATAGTCAATTTTCTAGCAAATTATAACATCAAAAAATGACACAGAAAAAGGAAAATCTAGATAGTCCTTTAACTGTGAAAAAAACCTGAACTAAAAATTTAAAACTTTCCCACAAGGAAAACTCTATGCCCAGGTGGTTTCAAAGTTGAAGTCTATCAATTGGTTAAGGAAAAATTAACATAAGTCTAATATAAACATTTTCAGAAAACAGAGAGATAGTGAACATATTCCAACTTATTTATGAGGCCAGAATAATCCTGATTCCAAAACCTGACGTGAACATCAAGAGGAAGGAAAATTACAGGCCAATCTTACCCATAACATAAATGTGATAATTCTCAATAAAATATTAGCAGAAGAATATATCACATGTTGAGTTTATTCCAGAAATGCAGGGTTGGTTTAACATTCAAAGACCAATTTAAGCTTCTCATTCTGAACAAAATGAATGTGTGTGTGCATTCCACCCCACTCCTCTCCCTGATTACAGCTGAGAGCCCTGGACCCCACACACCAAGCCAGATGAGGAGATTCTGAACAGGGAGGAAAAGCAGGCAGAGAGGCTGGGGACCTTGGGAATCAAAGGACAACCCACAGTGAGTTCCTGGAGTTTTTTCCTTCCTGTATTTCCCAACTTTGGTGCTGGAGCAGCCACGACTCAGAGACACCACTGAGCTAAGACCAGGAACCAAGGCCCAGGAAAAGGGAGACCTGCACGGCTGCTGGTAAAACAGAAGCAGAATTAAAACAGACTCAAAGACAATCAGGATTTCATGCCATGACACTCAAATGTCCATGACAGAATCCAAAATTACTCATTATATCAACAACAAGGAAAATCTCACCTTGAATGGAAGAAGACAACAACAAGATGACAGGTTAAGGTGACTCCAACAGGCAATCTGATACACTCTCAAAACAAATGAATATTGGAAGTTTCAGCAAAGGGATAAAAAATACAAAGCAAAACAAAATGGAAATTTCAGAACTGAAACCATAATAAAAATCTCACTGTATGGGCTTGATAGGAGAATGGAGACAACAGAAGAAAGAACTGGTGAACTTGAAGATATAATAGAAATTCTCCAATCTGAACAATAGAGAAAACAGATTGGAAACAGACAGACAGAGCCTCAGTGACCTGTGGGAGAATAACAAAAGATCTAACACTCTTGCCATTGGAGTCCCGAAAGGGAAAAACAGTGTGGAGCTGAAAAAAATACTTTAAGAAATAATGGTTGAAAACTTCTCAAATTTGGCAAAAGACGCATCTTCAGATTCAATGTCAAAAGGATAAGCCAAGGAAATCTGTGCACAGACCATCATAATCAGATTTCTGAAACTAAAGACAAACTCTGAAAGCAGGCAGAGAGAAATGATTCACAGGCAATGGACTGCTCATCAGAAATGATCATCTGATTTCTCACCAGAAGAAAATGCTATATTTTAAGTGCTGAAAGCAAAGAACTGTCAACTCATAATTTTATACCAGTGAATATACTCTTCAGGGATGAAGGTGAGATAAAGACATCTCAGACGAAGAAAAACCAAGAGTTTGTCACCAGCAGTCTTGCTGTAAAGGAAGTGTTGAAGGAAGTGCTTCAGACAGAAGGAACCTGGAATCAAGAGTCATGGAGAGGGGAAGGATCCGGGGAAAGAATGGACCATACCTTTCCTCCTGAGTTTTTAAAATTATGTTTGACAGTTGAAAGCAAAAACGAGGATCCTGTCTGATGTGGTTCTCGATGTACAGAGGGGTGGTACTTGCGACAATAAAGGGGGTGATGGGGCCTGACTGGTGGTAAGATCCCCACATTCCACTTGAAATTGCAGTGTTGACACGAGTTGACTGTGATAACTAAGGATACTGAAATCCCTAGAGCAAACACTAGAAAAAGTACCCAAGGAGATACACTGAAAAGCTAGATTAAAGTGGAACACTAAAAAATGTTCAAGTGACCCAGTGGAGGCAGGAAAGAGGAAACCGACGGATAGAAAACAAATGTGAAATGGCAGGCTTGGCTCCTGACACGGCAACAATTACAGCAAGTGCAAACACTCTAAACCCCTCCGCTAAAGTATCACAAGATGGATTTCAAAACTGCCTAGCTACATGCTGCCTACAAGAAATTCATTTCAAATGCAATGATGGAGGTGGGTTAAAAGAAAATGGACGATAAAGATATACATGCAAACGCCAATCAGAAGAAAGCAGCACTGGGACTTCCCTGGTGGTCCAGTGGTTAAGACTCTGTGCTTCCAATGCAGGGGGCTAAGGTTCTGTCCTTGGTCAGGGAACTAAGATCCAACATGCTGTACAGCTTGGCCAAAGAAGAAGAAGAAGAAAACTGGACTGGCTGAATTAGCATCAGACAGTAGACTTGAGAGGAAAGAAAATTACCAGGATGAAGAGGAACGCCACATAATGATACACAGGTGAAATCACTAAGAAAACATAAATGTATATGCATTGAACAGCAAAGCTTCAAAATACATTAAGCAAAAACTGATAGAATCATGGCAAAAAAATACAGATTTGTATTACAATAGGAATAGGAAGAAACCTTAATCTGACAAAAAAAAGTAAATATTAAACTTTAAAGTGTTGAAAGTTCTTCTCTGGGATCAGGAAGAAAGCCAGCTATGATCAACATCATACTAGAGATTCCACTCAGGGGAAGTAATACAAGAGAAAAAAGTAAAAGCTACCAGCACTGGAAAAGACAAAAATAAAACGTCCACTATTTGGGACAAGACGACTAGGTAGGCAGAGTGTCCTGCCTGCCCCTTCCTTTCCTTCCTGAACAATGGACCCATAAACGATCAGATGGGCGGTGGCAGGAGGTTACCCTCTGTGAGCGAGCTGCCTGGGGGCTGGTGGTCCAGCAGGCGAGGGTGTCAGGGTGGAGGGCAGCCTGGTTTGGCTGTCAGAGCCCGGGAGGGCCTGCGTAAAAGGGTGGGGCCTCCATGTGGGGAAAGGCCTCCGTGCTAGGGAGGCTGCTCACACCCAGGAACTGGATAGAAGAAATAATGTACTGAGGAGGTTGGGAGCCAGGCTTCTTGTTGTCGGAAAAGGAAGTTAAGAGTAATGAAAGCAGAGACTAGAACAAGCCTGTGATCCTGGACCAACCACAGAGGAACAGACTGACGGATAAGTTTGTCTTAAATTAAGACCTTCTGATGCCTCAGGAGATGGAGCCAAAAAAATATTGCTAAGATTTATGGCAGGGTGTTCTGCCTATGTTTTCTTCTAGGACTTTTATGATTTCTGGTCTCACATTTAGGTCTCGAATCCATTTTGAGTTTATTGCTGTATACGGTGTTAGGGAGTGTTCTAATTTCATTCTTTTACATGTAGCTGTCCAGTTTTCCCAGCACCATTTATTGCAGAGGCTGTCCTTTCTCCATTGTATATTCTTGCCTCCTTGGTCATAGAATGAAATTTTGCCATTTGCAACAACATGGATGGACCAGGAGGGCATTATGCTAAGTGAAAGAAGTCAGACAGAAAAAGACAAATACTGTATAACACTTATAAGTAGAATCTAAAAAATACAACAAACTAGTGAATATAACTAAAAAAGAAACAGACTCACAGATACAGAGAACAAACTAGTAGTTACCAGTGGGGAGAGGGAAGGGGGAAGGGGCAAGATAGGGGCGGGGGATTAAGAAGTACAAACTATTATGTATAAAATAAATAAGATTCACGGATATATTGTACAGGAGATGGCCAGCTGTGCTGTGTCAGCAGGAACCAGAGCAACGGCTCTCGCGACTGCTACTGGGAGAGGAAATGGTGTGAATAGTCTGGAGACAGCCAGACAAGAGTACACACGTGTAATTCCACTTGTATGAAAACTCAGCCACAGGGTGAGGAGTCAGGACAGCGGCTGGCTCAGGAGGACAAGGGGCTCCTGGGATGGCACATTTGTAACAGCTCCTCGGGCTGTGTTACTAGACAGTCACTGGACGGAGCACACGACACGACACAAGGATTCTCACCGGTGGTGTCTGTGGAGGCCAGGACACTGGGTTGAACGCCAGCACAGGACGAGGTCGTCTTCGAAGCATCTAACACATCTTCTAGTTGTTCCTCCAATGTTTTTAATTTATGCTTTAGAGTTCGCATTTCTGCTTCAAGGGCCAGAACATAATCTTCCAAAAAAACCCAGTAAACACACAGGCACATGTGTTTATACTCTCACCCTTTATCTACCACCCTTGTCCTCCCCCGCCCGACCCTCATGACTGTCCCATGCTGTCTGATACGCTCCCCTCCAGAGATCAGCTCGCCATGCTCTCCGAGGGGGCCCCATGGTCAGGAGCGAACACTCACTCTCCTTCAGTCCTGCAACCCTTGACGCACCGACACAACCATATCATCCTGAGTGCAGCCGTCTCAGGCGCTGCCCCTCCACTCACCACCCCTCGAGACCCTGCTCCAAATAGCGTGGGGCTGGGCGACCTTTGGGGCCTGGATGCTCCCCTGAGGAAGGGCCTGCTCCCCTAGCCCCACCTGCCCACTCCAGGAGAGCACAACGCCAACCCAGTCCCTGGTCCAAGTCTTGCTCTGGTTTTTAAGTGCGTCAAGTGTGTATCCTTCACTTTTTCCCTCCACTTACCAATAAAAAGTTTTTATTGTATATAAAACATTTGACTTAAGACCCTTCCCTTGGAGGAAAAGCAGCTGTCATACTTTGAAGTAATCTATCAAAGGGGATGTTCACTTGTAAGACTCCAAGTGAAGCCTATCGTGGACCCGGTAGAGATGGCATCTCATCCTCCCTCTCCCTCTCTCCCTCTCCCCTTCGCTCACCAGGTACAGTTGAATCAGCGGCTGCCTTTGGGTCAGGCTGGTTTGTTTGTGAGGTCTCCCCTCCTAACTGGGCAGAAGGAAGAATCTGATCACTTAGAGTTTCCATTTCTTTCCTCATCTGTGCAATAACGTTTCGCAAGCTTGTGTTCTGCTCTTGTAGCTGCTGGATCACAGTAGATGGAAAACTTTTACTTATTTCTTCTTCTTGATGCCTTACAAGCATCTGTCAAATACGGGAAAAAAAAAAAAAAAAAAAGAAAAAGAAAGAAAAGAAATTGGTTACAGCCAAGAACCGATGATTCCCTTGTGCACTGAGGCCGGCTGCATCTGCGTCCACCTGCCCCCTGTTCCTGCTCCCCGTCACCTGTCCTAGAGGTGGGTAATGTTGACAGAAGTATGAAAAAACTTTTTCTTCTGTGTTTCATAAAGACAAGACCACGGTTTTTCAAAGATAACTTTTATTGAGAAATTTGGGGACCCTTCCTTTTTAGTCAGAAGCCCATCATTCACCCATTAGAGTGGCAGTTATAAAAAAGACGATAACGTGTTGCTGAGGATGTGAAGAAAATGGAATCTTTGTGCACTGTAAAAGGTAAAGGTACGCAGTGGCTTGTAAATGTAAAATGGTGCAGCTGCTGTGGAAAACAGTCTGGCTGTTCCTCAACAAAGTAAACACAGAGCTATTATACGACCCAGCAATTCCACTCCTAGGTATAGACCTAAGAGAACTGAAAACATACATACACACAGAAACCTGTACACAGGTTTGGAGCAGCATTATTCATAGTAGCCAAAATGGAAATACTCAAATGTCTACCCACAGATAATGGATAAACAAAGGGTAACACTGTGAAACATTACTCAGCCAGAAAAAGGAACAATGTTCTGACACATGCTACAACATGGAAGGACCATGAAGATATCATGCTAAGTGGCAGTCAAGGACTTTAAAGCAGTTCCCATAAATATACTCCAGGATTTAAAGAAAAACATGAACATAAAGAGAGAAATGGAAGATATCAAAAAAGAACCAAATAGCATCTACAGAGATGGAAAATATACAGTCTGAAGGAAAAATTCACTGGCTAGGATGGGATTAAGAGCAGATCAGACACTACAGGAGAAAAGATGAGGGAACATAAACACATAGCAGCAGAAAGTATTCAAACTCAAGCACAGAGTGAAAGAGACCAAAAAGAACAAATAACAACAGAGCTCTAGTGACCACGGAATAATGTGAAGCAGAAACACACTAACCCAGATCATTGAGGGGGACAGAAAAGGATTCAGAACTTGTTGGCAAAAAAATTTCCAATTTGATGAAAACGTTAAGTCCACAGATCCAAGAAGTTCAAGAAAACTGAAGCAAGATAAACACACAAAAAGTTACACCAAACAGCACATCATGGTCAAATTACTAAAAAACAATGATAAAGAAGACCTCTTAAAAGCGACCAGAGGAAAAAAAGACACATTATGTTCCTGCAGAAGAACAAATACAAGAAACTGACAACTTCTCATGAGAACCAATGAAATCTAGAAGACAATGGAACCACGTGCAGAAAGAAAATAAAAACCTGTCACCCAGAGTGAAAATCTCCTTTGAAAATGATGGCAAGAGAGACTTCTGCCTTTGACCATGAGGGATTTGCTGCTACGGGACTTGCCCTCTGGCTGTAAACAACTAGAAAGCTACACAAATTCTATGAAACCACTGTCTTCAGACACTCCCTGTACAGTGGGTGCCAGAGGAGGGGACAGAGGAAGGGAGCCCGTGGTTTGCCTAGTTCTCTGCATCTGGGCCCAGCACAACCCAGCCCTCTGTGGATGTCTGCTTGCAGAAAGCACCAGGCTCCTCTCCTCCATGGCTGCCCCATCAGCACACTAACCTCCAAATGGGCAGGAAGGAAGGTCCTCCCCTAGGAAGCAGCACATGCTCACTCCCCACTCAAGGCCCAGGTCCCATCCTGAGACTTTCTGACTTTCCGACTGGTTGCTGGATCCTGCTTACCAGCAAAGCAAACCAGCTGGGCTTGCAAGGACCTTTGACCAGTCCTGCTGAGAGAGACCAAGACTATGTGAACACAACGCGAGCTTCTAACAAGTTCAGAGACGCACAAACATGCCCATGCAGCATTACAAGAATCTGTGCAAATGATCCCAACGGCCATTAGTGAGAGAATAATGAAGTAAACCGTGGCATGGTCATACAATAAAGTACACAACCATTTAAGTTGCATTTTTGAAGAATTTTATTTTTTATTTATTCTCTTTTTAGCTGCGTTGGGTCTTTGCTGCTGCACGCGGGCTCTCTCTAGTTGTGGCGAGTGGCGGCTACTCTTCGTCGTGGTGCGTGGGCTTCTCATTGCAGTGGCTTCTCTTGTTGCAGAGCATGGGCTCTAGGTTCGTGGGCTTCAGTAGCTGCAGCACGTGGGCTCAGTAGTTGCAGCACACAGGCCCTAGAGCATGCGGGCTTCAGTAGTTGTGGTGCGTGGGCTCTAAGTGCGCAGGCTTCAGTAGTCGTGGCGCATGGGCTCAGCAGTTGTGGCTCACAACTCTAGAACGCACGTTCAGTAGTTGTGGCGCACAGGCTGAGCTGCTGCGTGGCATGTGGGATCTTCCCGGACCAGGGCTCAAACCCGTGTCCCCTGCATTGGCAGGCAGATTCTTAACCACTGCGCCACCAGGGAAGTCCTGCATTTTTAAAGAATTTTAATGATGTGAGAAATATTTATGGAAACTTTAAAAAAGAATTAATGTTATATAGCATGACCTGAGCTATATGAACACAGTATGGGCACAGGAACATACATGAGATATGGAGATAGAGGTGGCTGGAAGGAAATACACTAAAACATCTGCGTGTCAGACAGACACGATATGTTCTCTTCTCTGTTCCAAGCGATGCTGGCTCACATCTGCAGAGCTCACATCCATCCGCAGTGGGCCAAGCATTCCCAGGGGTACCCCTCACACAGATGAGGAAACAGAGACGCGAGCTCTCAGGGGCCACCTGACCACACACAGCCACACGCTGATGACAGACAAGCACACGGCCTCCATGGGTCTGACCCGGCCACGACGCTCAGCCCTGGCATTGAGCAAGCACGTGACACACGCTGTCACCAACTTCCCACTAATGCACCACGGGGGACCCAAGAGGTCCGGCCAAGGAGGAGTTGAGCTGGGGTGAACCTTGGGCCCACCTGACTCCAGAGAACACTGTGCTGAACTAAAATTGTAAAATTTCTGCAGTGGCCACATATTTTTACTTTCAGAATGAAGCTATTTCTTCTGTTACTCACAGTTCCCAACTTTTCAAGCCACCACTGGCTCTGCTATGCACCTGCTCTGTCTCCTTCCAGCCACTGCTCTGGCCCCACTGCTCCTGCTGCAAACACCCGACCTCCCTCTCTGTGCCCACTGGGCCATTTCCCACCCTCTCCGTGGCAGGGCCTCAGGCTGCTCCCACTCAGGCAGACAGCAGTGTGGTCGGGGCCGTGAGTGTGCAGCTGGCTGGTGCTACTCACATTCTCCCTCTGCCACCTGTGGGGCAGGGACCACTCCTCTCAGGTCCTCAGCTTCCTTGTCCTGAACAACAGGATCCACCTCAAAGCCGCAGTGCAGCCCAGTTGCAAGGCGAATCCTCTGCCCCTGCGGCCGTGGCTGCGTCTCTGCCCTGGTAATGCCTGCCCGACGGTGGTGCCTTGGTCTCCGTGGGGTGATCACCACGGCTCTGCTGAGGCTCCGTGCTCGGAACTAGTACCAAGCGAGGGAGAAGATGTGGCCAAAGCCTAGAGCCTGTCCATCTGAACAGTGGAATCTGTGATGGGCTCATCGCTCCCCAGGAAGCACAGTGTCTCGCTCCCTGGCGGCCTCTATTTCTGACTTCGGTGTATGACAGATTCCCTCACTGCTCCTACCTTAGTGTTTGCCAAGGGCTCACCCCTGCAGAACTCAGCACCAACTGCTGCCCGCCCACACCTGCCGCTTTACCAGGTGGTCACATCCTTAACCTGCTCCCAGCATTAAGGCCCCCTACAGGAGCACAGGTGTTTTGCTATTAGCTGCAGGATTCAAAAACTTCATTCCATTGGGTCAGCCAGGAACTCGTGCAGCATTCTGCCCCACCCTGGGTCCTGGCTTGGAAGCCACATCTCTGTCAAGACCGCCACGCCAGCTCACATTCACAGGTGCCTCCACTGCATCTCCCCACTCTGCATGGATGGGCGGGGCACTTGTTTCTGACCCCTAGACCATTTCTAAAGCCCCTGTTTACTTAACAAGGCAACCAGCCATGAGAGGCCTCCCTGACCAGCCGAGCTGGTGCTTGGAGACACATGTCTTCTTTTAATTGCCAGCCTGGGGGGAAAATACGACAACGAAAAATTGGGGTGGGGGCTCATTGAAAAAAAAAAAAAAAGAGGCATTTGCTTTCTCTATGTGTCCTAGGGAAGGCACCCATGCAGAGACCACCTGCTGTGAGCCCCCAGGACCACAGGTGGCTCTGGAGGCTGGGGTCAGCCCCACCTGGGAACACCGGTGCTCCCAAACCTGACGACTGGCTGATGGTGAATCTCCCCAGGGGCTTGTTAACAGACTCGTCTTTCGGAGCTCAACCCCTAAGGCATCGGGCCTAGTAGGTCCTGCTGGGACTCAGAGGGGTGTGTTTCGGAAGCTCCTGAGGTTTCTGAGGGTGGCCAGATTGGGGGCTGCGCAGTCACCTGTGCAGAGAGGACAGTCACTGCCCACATGGCATGGCTGGCAGGAGCCCACCTCCACCAGGTGAACGCTAGGTCAACCCAGCACCAACTGCGGGCAAGTGCCAGCCACAGAGGTCGCAGTGAGGCCCCAGGGCCCCCTTCCACCCGCAGTGAGCACGAGTCCTCCCAGCAAGGACACATGAGCTACGACCTGCACTCCCGCACGCAGGCACAAGCAGGGCTGGGTGGACGCGTGAAGACGCAGCTTGTGCCACATCCATCCTCCCTCTGCAGGTGGACAGCTGGACAGGTGGGAAGAGGCCAGCACCCCTGGAGACATCCTAAGGATTTCAGTGGCTCCATTATCCTGGACGACCGGGTAAGTGACTTTCCACAAATGGACAGAGGTCACACTACTGAAACAATGGGCCATTGAACCAGGAAGGTCATGTCTGAGACAGGCTCGGGCTGCGCTCTGCTGGTGCAGCTCTGGAAGGCACTTCTCCTTGTGGGTTGCCCAGATTTCCTAGCAGCCCGGTGACAGGGCTTCCCTCTGGAGCCCTGGATGGACGGGGGACAAGGCAAGAGGCGAGGCAAGGCAAGACATGGGCTGTGCTCACTGTAATGCCAAACTCTAGGCCTGCACAAGGGTCCCCCTCAGTGGAAGCAAATGCCCCCTCTGCAACTCTGAGTCAAATCCTGCCACTTCTGGCTTCAGGTTTTACTGGCGCTAGTCCTTGGCACCCCTCGGCCTGCAGACACAAGGCTCTGCTCTCTGCCTCTGTCGTCACATGGCCTTCCTCCTGGGTCTGTCTTCATGTGTGTTCTTTTCTAAGAACACCAGTCCTATTGGGTTGGGCCCACCCTGCTCCCATGTGATGTCATCTTAACTAATTCCATCCATAAAGACTCTATTTCCAAGGAAGGTCCCATCCTGAGGCACTGAGACCGGAACATGTCTTTTGGGGCCACCATTCAACCCGCAGGCATCCCACAGTATCAGGCTCTGGCCAGTGCAAAGCAGTAAGGAAGTCTGTGCTTTATGAGAGGAACGGCCGTCGTCGCATGTTGCATGGCTTACTCACCACGTATGAAGAAGTGTGTTTTGGGATAAAGCTCTAACCTCTTGGTTCTTCGTGTTACTGTCTGCCACGGTGCAATATCTGAATTTGGGGTTTTTTGATATTTCAGATGCTGAAGATACAAAGATTGAGTGTAGACTCCCATTAACTGGTTGAGGCTCAGCCTCACCCTTGTTTGTGCCAACAGTCATTTTAAAAGAAATAGGGCTGAAAAGACCTGCCTCCAGTGCTGGTTCTATTTGGCATATTTTCCCTCTGGCTGGGGGAGTGGGTGTCTCCAAGGGGCTTGGGAGGAAGAGCCGTGCGGAGGCTCAGCAGGAGGTGGCCCCTCACCTGGGCCTCCTCCTCAGGGTGGAGTCCGCGTGTCCGCAGCGCCTGCACAGCCTGGTCTCTCTCTCGGGTCACGGCCTTCAGCACCACCTCCTGGCCGCACAGCACCCGCTCTGTCTCCTGCAACTTGGCAGCAACCTGGGGAAAACACAGACTCAGTTCATCCTGGGAGGATTACAAGGAAGCAGTGCCACCTTCAGGGTCCAGACCAGCTCCCCATCCTGCGGGGAAGCAGACAGCAGACACTCGGGTGAGAAACCCCAGCAAATACGTGGCCATCAGAGCCGGCAGAGCACAGCAATCGCTGATCCAGCTCCAGAGGCAGCGGCACTGGCCATTAGAGAAAGGCTATGGGCAGAGACTCATCTTATCACTTTAAGTCCTGTTGTTATAAATCAAACTGCTCAGTGAGGCTGAGTGTTTTCAAATGCAAAGGATAACTCAGTGAGGGCCCAAGCCGGGCTCCATGCACCTCAGTGGACGTTCCCAGCCCTTCCTCCTGCAGAAAGAAGTCAGACAGCCCTGGGGAGCAGAGACCTGGTCTCTGGCCGCGGTTAGGCCCTGAATCAAGTCCTCAGCCCGCCGGTACTGCTCCCGCTCGACACCCTCGCAGCGGCGCTGCCAGTCCAGCTCCAACTGCACCTTGTCACGCTCCAGGCTCTGCTCCCTCTCTACTGCCAGAGACAGCTGCTGTTTGTACCTGCGGGGGTGAAAACCACCAACTTGAACGTTTTCCTGAGGTCCCTTTGGGCTGTGACGTAGCTGAGGTGGGAGGCGCTCCTCCTGGGCCCCCAGGCCAGCCGTGTTCACGGGCTTGGCTAACACCTTCACACAGGCCCAGGTTCAGAGAGGAGCAGGCGGCCGGGTCTCCCAATACCGAGAAACCCAGCACTGTGGGAGAGGAGGTCAAACTCAGTAAGAGGAGACAGGAAGAAAGGCAGCAAACTCAGACAAACAAGAAAATGGTTGCACTAGAGAAACGCAAGAGGGTTCACAGCAGAGCAGACAGAGCTCGATAGTCAACAGTGCGCTGAAAGGTCAAACAGAACTCAGAAGACCAGCGTTCATCTACCAGGGGGCTGGGAGAAATCAGAATGGAAGGAGGAAATAACCACGGAAATAGGAGGAAATCCACCATGGCTGGGGAGGGATATGCGCCTTCTGCCTGAAAGCTTCCGAGTGCTGGACAGGAGGGGCTTCAGACGCCATGGGGAAGGTACAGACCGCCGGCTGGGATGGAAGAAAAGTGCGTGGGGGAGTGAACCGGACCCGCACGAGGCTTCTCGTCAGCCACACAGAGCAATGCAGGGTGAAGATCGCTGGGAGGCCTCTTCCCCGGTGAGCAGGGCTGTGACCAGGGCGGGATGGTAACACCTTCTACAGGGGACACCAAGTAAGGCTCCATCCTGCCCACTGCAGGGAGATTCTCCTGCTGGCCGTGCTGAGAGGACCACGTGGCCAGGACAACCCCGGCTGACAGCCGGCAAGGAAACAGACATCAGACCCACAGCTGCTGGAACTGACCTCTGCCGACAACCTAGATGAGCTGGTAAGGGGAGCCCGAGTCTCAGAAGAGAGGGCAGCCCGGCCGACACCTTCATTCCAGCCGAGTGAGACCCACTTACTTGGGGGACCTGGCTGCCACAGAAACAGACCCTCAACAGAGGTGATGTAATTAGCAGAAAAATACTTTAGAACAGCTACTGTAAATATGTTCAGAGATTAAAGGCAACCACACACACAATGAGGAGAGAAATGAAAAGTGAAATGTCTGAAATAAAAACCCACCAGCCTTCCTGGCAGATGAGACCTTGTGGGGAAAGCCTTAGAGGCTATCAAAAGAACATCAAATTAAAGCAAAGGAAACAGAAGAAAGACAATAGTAAGGATAAGAGCAGGTATCAGTGAAACTGAAAACAGAAAAACAATTGAGAAAAATCAATGAAACCAAATGCCGGCTCTTTGGAAAGATGTGTAAAATGGATAAATCTCTAGCTAGACTGATGGAGGAAAAAAGAGACAATACAAGTCACCAGTATCAAGAAGGAGAGAGGACACTGCTGCAGATTTGACACATATTAGAGGGACAATAAAGAAATACTATAAACAATTTTATGCCAATAAAGTCAACAATTAGATGAAATGGACAAACTCATGGAAAGATACAAATTACCAAAAGCGACACACACACACAAAATAGAAAACCTGAATATTCAAATAAATATCCAAAGAAACCAGACACAAAAGACTATAAACAGTAGGATTCCACGCAGAGACCTGGTCTGCAGGATTCCACGCAGATGAAATTCCAGATCAAGAGAAACCCACAGTGACAGAAAGCATCCTGGCAGGTGCTGAAGTGGGAGGGGACTTCGGGCTTCGGGTTTTACATCCTGACTGTAGTAGTGGTTATACTGCTTATTTATGTACATATTTGTCGAGATTCATCAATTGTACAGTTAAAATTGGGACATTTATTATATTTCAATGATTTCTCAAGAAAGAGAATATTATCTTTAGCCAAGTGCTCATTCCAACTGATAGGAAAAGACACTAACAGTCAGACAAAAGACCTCAGAGGTGATTCCTGACACAGGACCAAATGGCACACACACTTTTACAGCCCTGGTGCAGACCGAGAACCGCGCTCTGTGGGAAAGGCCTCCTCTGACCACCCACCCCGCCGCCCCATCTTCATCCCCTTCCCCCACCACATGGTACCTTCCAATGTCCTGCTGGCATCTGGCCAGCTGTGCCTTCAGCTTCACCTCTTCCTCCTGCAGCGCCTGAACCTGGAGGTCTTTGGAGATCATCTCCTTGGAAAGTTGAGCAATCTGGGCATCCCAGCCAGATTTTAGAGCTGATGCATCTTCCCGAAGTCTAAACAAAGAAGGGAAGCAACGTGAATGTGGGCGTGGTTCTCACTAGAGCTCTCTTTTACAACAAATACACACACACACATGCACACAGCCCTCAAAGGAAATGCTACAGATCAGGGTCTCTTTCACACTCATCAGGGCAGAGGCTTCCTTGCCTAGATTAAGAAATGGTCCAACCCAAGAAGAAATACACACCCATCCCTCCCACCAACCCAAGCATCGACTAACACCTGCAGAATGCCAAGCCCACGCCAGGTGCGCGGGGAAATGTGTGCCAGGGCGTGTCTCTTAGATCCAATGGTTATTTTTTTTTTTGTTTTTTTTTTGCGGTACGCGGGCCTCTCACTGTCGTGGCCTCTCCCGTTGCGGAGCACAGGCTCTGGACGCGCAGGCCCAGCGGCCATGGCTCACGGGCCCAGCCGCTCCGCGGCATGTGGGATCCTCCCGGACCGGGGTACGAACCCGCGTTCCCTGCATCAGCAGGTGGACTCTCAACCACTGTGCCACCAGGGAAGCCCGAGCCAACAGTTTTGAACCAGTGAATTCTGACTCACCTGGGCACCCCTTGCCATGCCCAGCAGAGCCCTTCCACATAGAGACATTCAACACATATCTCCAAATTGAACAGCAAGATAAGGTTCTACAGAAACCCTTTACATTCCTTGGAAGAATCACCAAAAATATGATAAATCTCCCAAGAAGAGAAACTTTAGAAAGAACACCTAACAATATTGACTAGAGTAGCCATGATATTAACCACACAAAGCTCGCAGGGTGGTCACCTTATTTGCAGCCCTGGCCTGTTTCCCTCCTAATCTGCACTCAGCATGCTGTGGGGTAAATGCTGTGATCACTCACTGGCCACTGCCCAGAGCCACAGGCCCACAGGTGGGCCACGGAGTGCAGTGCAGAGGTGGACGAGCTGTGGGAAGGCAAATGGCTGTCAGCCGATAAGGCCTTGGATCAAAGTCCCGAGTGCAGCTGCCCTGAGCCTCAGACAAAGCTCCATCCGAACATGGGCAGAGATGGGAAGGAGAAGGGAGCAGGTTCCCTCGTGGGAAGCTTCTTTAAACATTTCAGCTTAAACAGGCCTAAACGCCAAGGCCAGTGTGCTGGGTTTTTTTTTTTTTAATAATTAAAAAATATATATTTATTTTTATTTTATTTATTTATTTGGTTGCGCCAGGTCTTAGTTGCGGCTCGTGGGCTCCTTAGTTGTGGCACATGAACTCTTAGTTGGGGCACGCATGTGGGATCTAGTTCCCTGACCAGGGATTGAACCTGGGCCCCCTGCATTGGCAGGCGGATTCTTAAATCACTGCGCCACCAGGGAAGCCCATATAATTTAAATGAATTACTTCTAGCACAATACGTCCAGAGTCATACTGACTCTTAACTAAGCTCATCCTAATATCACAAGGGGCCACAAAAAAAAGTTAGAAACTGCAGAACTTGTCCAGCTAAGACACAGTGCTGGTGTCAGAATGGGGGCTGGAGCTGCTCCCCTCCAGGTCTGCCCAGCACCCTCTCTCTGGGGCAGCACCTGCTCTGGTCCCATGTAGTTGTCGGGGTGAGAAAGTAGCAGGTGGGGGCCCAGGAACCTGTGACAAAGCTGGCCCCCAACCCAGGCACCGACCTGGAGCCAAGTCCACACCGGGAAGTGTGTGCGGGTGGGCTGGTTGCCCACAGCATCCGGGCTTCACCCTGGCTGTGCCCCACCAGACACTTAGCCCTGGAGCCTCGAGTGCCCCATGTCTGACGTGACAGAGGGAAATGAAAGGCTCTCCTCCGATCTGTGTGTCGCTGGAAGACGAAAGGACACGAGATGCCTGGCCTGCCCTGGAATTCCAAAGCACTCCTTCCCCTCTACCTACTCAATTGCAACTCTGCTCCGAGGCCGAAGGACATCGGCTAGGAGGTGCTTTGTAACTGGACCTTATCTGATTTTCCGGGTGGGAAAGAGGAGCAGCTGGCGGCCCTGGGAAGTCAACTGCCCAGGCCTCACACATCAAGCAGGACATCCAATTTGAGCTTCCCATTACAGTCCCTGATCTGATTCTTCGTAATTCCATGTGTGTTGGGCTTCCCCAACTATAAGAGAAGGTGCTGGAGCTCGAGAACCATATTTTTAATTCTAACGAATTCCCATGAGATGATCTGCACACAGCAGGCTTTGCATGTGTCCATGAATGGGACCCTGGTTCCTGCTCCACTTTGCCAAGACCAAGCCAGCACAAGCAGGCCTGTGTTCTGGAGAGCAGAGAGCTCGCCCTCACTGAGTCCTGGCCTCCGACCAGCATTCGGACCAGCGCTGCCCAGCACTGGGCCATGGGCCACATGGGGCTCCCAGGCATGTGGCCAATTTGAATTGAGATGTGCCTTCAAAACTTAGCACCAAAAAATGCAAAATATCTCAATAATATTTTTTTCAGGCAAGTTTAGTCATCCTTCTTCAATAACTTTATATTGATTACTTATTAACGATATGCAACAAGACGGCATTTTGGTTAAAGTAAGTCCCCTACATACGAACCTTCAAGTTGCGAAGTTTCAAAGATGTGAACATGGAGCTTACTAATGAAGACCTGATGGAATTGGAGACCCAGAGAAAGGACGAAGAGAAACACGAAGATGAAGAAGTAACTGAAGAACTGAAGAGATTCACAATGCAGGAAATGGCAAGGGATTTTCTTTATTTGAGGAGGCACTGATAGTATTTGAGGCACAGGACCCAAACGTAGAACGGTATACAAAGGTTGCAGCAGCCGTTCAGAATGCAATCCAGTGCTACCATGTCATCTATGACGAGAAAAGAAGAGCTACTACCCAGACATCACTGGATCGTTTCTTTAAGAGGGTAGATAGAATTGAATCCAGCAAGGAACCAGAACCTGTGCCATTAAGGTCAGGTGTAGATGAAATTGCAGCTTGCCCTCCATCTCCAATTGCTGACGATCCTTCAGCTCTACCGCCTCCCACCTCATCTCCCTCCTCCAGTCAGTAACCGTTCTTGCCTATTCACTTGATGCCAGCCCCTGTATGCCAGCTGTTGTACTGTACTACTGTACTTTTCAAGGTACCATACTATAAGATTAAAAATGTTTTATTTTTTGTGTTTGTGTGTTTTTTATGTATTATTTCTGTGAAAAGTATTATAAACCTATTACAGTACAATACTATACAGCCTATTGTGTTAGTTGGGTACCTAGGCTAACTTTGTTGGACTCATGAACAAATCGGACTTAGGAACGTGTACTCGGAACGGAACTCATCCATATGTAGGGGACTTATTGTATACTGAGTTAGATATAATGTTATTGGAGTTAATTCCTTTGTTTTTTCTTTCTTAAAATATTCATTTATTTATTTGGCTGTGCTGGGTCTTAGCTGTAGCATGAGGGATCTTTTTAGTTGCGGCACGCAGGATCTTTAGCTGCATCATGTGAACTCTTAGTTGCAGTATGTGGGACCTAGTTCCCTGACCAGGAATTGAACCTGATCATTGGGAGCATGGAATCTCAACCACTGGACCACCAGGGAAGTCCCCTGGAGTTAATTTCACCTATTTCTTTTTGCATCTTACCTCTGGGTACTAGGAGGTTAAAGTGCACCATATTCCATGTGATAGGTTATACACCTGCACGGACACACATGGTTCTCACAACACTGTCTCAGGTCATCATTTCTCTACTCTGCCATCCACAAACCACTGGTCTCAGGAAAACTATCACAAATAGGCCCAAAGAGACAGCAAGCTCACAGTATGGGCCATTTTGTCGCTGATTTATAAAGAGTATGTCTGGGAATGAAAAGACACTGATACAGACACTAAGACTTCTCCTGGGAACCCAATGATGCTGCTTGTCATGGCCACTTGACTGGTCCCACGGAAGAATAGGAAGGAACGCAAGGGTGGACATGCCAAGAGGTGAGAGCAGAGGAAGGAGGCCTGCCTGCAGGAAGTTCTGTGCACCCGGATATTGGGATCTGAGTCGCCATCCGTGAGAAGGGCCCAGGGAGGGCCTGTCCAAACGGAGGAGAGGCTGGGGAAACACATGCCCGTCAGACTGAGCTGCCTCACCCCTCCAGCTACCGCTGCCTGTGTTTAACAGATCAAACAATATAACGTGTGACTCTAAGGAAGCTATCCTGAATAAACTTTAACTTCCTGGTATTTTATAGTTTAAGAGCCATTTTCCCCGTAAGTAGAAATATAACTTGGCAGAGAATTCTCTGTAAAAAAAAAAAAAAAGAGACAAGTATTTTCCAAACAAAGGAGAAAAGCCAGTTGCTAAACAGTAGGCTCTATAAATGACTTATTTATCTTAATCGTCTTCTGTAAACACAGCTTCTCTAAAGATCACTTCCTTACTGGTCGCCAAAAGGCTGAGTTCAATTATGACTTCAGTTACAGTGGCCCTTTGCAGACACCAGGCACAGTGGGACAGAGTGGCTTACATGTCATGGCCTGGTTAAGATGCCGAAAAAGAAAACTGGGTTTAAAAAGAAACTAGTTGGGAATTCCCTGCAGTCCAGTGGCTAGGACTCTGTGCTTTCACTGCCGAGGGCCCGGGTTCAATCTCTGGTTGGGGAACTGATCCTGCAAGCTGCATAGTGTGGCCAAAAAAATAAAAAATAATTGTAAAGAATGGTTTTTGATTTAAAAAAACAAAAAGAAACTAGTTTATGGAGAAACTAGAACCTTTGTGAAAAATGGTGCATCCACTGTGGAAAACAGTTTGGCAGGTCCTCAGAAAGTTAAACATAGAGTTACCGTGTGACCTACAACTCCACTTCTGCGTACATACCAAAAGAACTGAGAAGAGACTTGAGCAGATATTTTTTCACCCATAGTCATAGTAGCACTAGTCACAGCAGCCAAAAGGTGGAAACAACCAAAATGGCCATCAGCAGATGAACTGATAAACAAAATGTAGTTCTATACAAACAATGCAACGTTATTCAGCCTTAAAAAGGAAGGAAATTCTGACACCCGCTACAACGTGGATGAACCTTGAAGCCATCACAGAGTGGAACAAGCCAGTCACAGAAGGACAGACACTGTAGGATTGCACTCATGTGAGGTCCTTAGGGTAGTCAAATTCACAGAGACAGAAGGTAGGATGGTTGGTGTCAGGGGCTGGGAGAGGGGGATGGGGAGTTACTGTTTAATGGGCAGTTTTAGTTTTACAGAGAAAAGAGTTCTGGAGACGAATGGGGTGATGGTTGCACAACTGTGAATGTACTTAATGCCACTGAACTTAAAAATGGCTAAGATGGTAAATTTTATGCTGTGTATTTACCACAAATAAATAAATGCACACATTCATACATACATCCACACATACTAACCACATACTTTCAAATAAAGGAAAATGAAAAAAGAGAATGGTTAAAAACAGTGACGGAGGGGCTTCCCTGGTGGCGCAGTGGTTAAGAATCCGCCTGTCAATGCAGGGGACACGGGTTCAAGCCCTGGTCTGCGAAGATCCCACACGCCGCGGAGCAACTAAGCCCGTGTACCACAACTACTGAGCGTCTGCTCGAGCCCACAAGCCACCACTACTGAAGCCCACGCGCCCTAGAGCCCGTGCTCTACAACGAGAAGCCACCGCAATGAGAAGCCTGCGCACCGCAACGAAGAGTAGCCCCCACTCGCCGCCAACTAGAGAAAGCCCACACGCAGCAACGAAGACCCAACACAGCCATAAATAAATAAATAAAATTAAAACAACAACAACAACAACAGTGACGGGAGCTGCAGGAGTGACTCCCAACAGCCTGTGCCCACTTCCCTTCATCTGAAACAGGTTAACTAGGCAGCCAGGCCCTCAGCCGCAGCTCACTTGTCAATGGCGGCGTCCTTCTCCTTGGTGGTGTCCGCCTGCCTCCACTCAGCCCTGCGGAGCTGCACCTCGAGGTTCTCGCAGTTCACCTGCAGCTCCAGGGCCCTGGCCTCTACCGCCTGCAGCTGCTCCGCATGGGCGCTCTTCGCTGCCATCAGCACCGTGTCCCTCTCCCTGGCCAGACGGTCCAGCTCCTCATGCCTGAAACACAGTGAGGTCCCCAGTGGCTCACACAGGCCCTGCTCAGGACCCCCGAGCCTAGAACCTTCCTCATTCTGCAGGAGTGCTGCATGCGTGTCCTCCTGAAGGGCACTTCTGCCCGCTTCTCTCTGCTCCTCACTCCTCACACAAAAACACTGACTGAGAGATTCTCAGACGCCGGGCCCCAGCCCTCCCAAGCTCACAGTCCATGGGAGAAAGACCCCAGAACATGTGCTTCAGTGAAGGGCCACCAGCAGAAGCCGTACGGACTCGGGAAGCAGAAGGCAGGTGTAAACTGCCCTGGCCTCGCAGCTACCCCATTTGCTGGGCTGCTTTCAACCCGGAATCTGAGGCTTCCCAGAACTGGGGGCTGCGGGATGCAGGCTGCATGTCTGTCTTTGCTAGAGATGCCAAACCTACTGGAACTCTGTGAACAGAACATTCGTCTCGAAAATACACTGTTGGGTGTCGCTGACAGCTGACGTGATGTCCATGATGTTTTATGCTTTTATTCTATTTGGTTTTGATGAAGAGTAAAAAGCCCTAAAAAATGTAATTCCACATGATTTCTTTCAGATTCCATCAGCATTGTTCAATGAGATGGTTAAGCCTTATTTAATCAAGTCGCATGCCGTACTTTTCATTCCAATTACGATCAATCTTCATCTTACTCACCTTGCAAACTGTTCAGTATTTTCCACCTTCTAGTAGCAAAAAACTATACTCATGCCAGTTGCTGTACCCATTAGTTTCTGGCAGGATATACCTTTCTTTTTCACCAAATCACAACAAAAGTTTGATCATGACAGCTAGTGAAGGGAGGGAGTTATTTCTGCACTGCATTATTCTGTGACCATTGGTTAGTTACTTTCAAAAGGCAAACACCAAGACTCCAGGGCATGGACACCCCAGCCCACACCAAGGAACCAAGGAACACAGGTTTCTTGTCACCTTGGCTCCGTAAATAACGCCACCTGGGCTGCACACGACTCTGCGGGGTCACGCAGTGTGTGAGGACACAGAGCATCTTCGTGCACCCTGCTCCCAAGACTTGTTTCAACGGGTCAAGTATATTGGCTCTAAGTGTCAATCTGGACGGCTTTCAGCAATTCATTTTACAAGGCGTGTTCTGTAATTCTCAGTGTTTTGATGATATTCCTCCAAACACACACAAATATACTAATTTGAACTGAAAAGTGAGGGGAGGCCCTGGAAGAGCAGGCCTGACCCAGCTAACAGTCCCACAGAAGGGCTGGGTCTACCCCCAAGGGGATCAGGGAACGTTTTCCCTACGCTGACACTGGAGCCAGAAACACTCACTTCCTCCTAAACGTCTCCTCTTCTTTTTTCTTGGTGAGCTGCACAGAGTGAAGTTTACCCTCTAAGTCTTTTATCCTGAAAGAATCAAATATTAGTGGAAAAAGCAGGTAAGGGGCTACAGCAAAGCCGGCCTGGAAAAAGCCAGAACAGGCAGATGCCTCCAGGCTGGAGTCCAGACCATGCAAAACATCGGGCGCATTGGCCACATCCGCCCACAGGGAGATGGCGAGACTCCGCACCGGGCGTCCTTCACGGCAGCCAGGTCCCTGAGTTCCCAGTCTCTGTGCTGCAGCCTATCCTCCAGCTCTGCATTCACCGCCTCGGCGCTCTGCAGGGACTCCGCAGCCTTCACCCCGGCCTCTCTCAGGGCCACAAGCTCTTTGTTCAGCAGTTTAATCTTTGAAAGAGAAGAATTCAAAATAAGGATATAAGTGGAACAAACTGAGGTGCTAGAGGTAAGCCTTACCATTTTATCAGAACTGGGAGCGAAGGAAAACTGGAATTTGAGAAGCAATAGAACAGTGAGTCTCCTCACGTGCTCCCACAACCTTGAGAGCACGGGCCCCGTGTGAGTCCCTGTCGCACCCCAGCACCCGACTCGGGCATGATTTGCTACTGGAATCACACAGCCAGATGGAGGCTGTACGAACGTGGCTCCCTGCTGAGTGACCCCACTCAAACCCCAGCCACACATTCAATTGTTAAATAGCTTCTCTGGGCCTCAGCTTCCTCGACTATAATGCAGAGGTGATGGTACTGCTGCCCCCAAATCAGTTCTGTGTATAACCTGTGATGCCCTCAAGGGGCAGGTCTTCAGGGGACCAGAACCGACTCGTGGCAGCTGGAGATGGGAGTGGGGCATGCCCTGGCTCACCCACCCCTGTCCCCTGCTCCTCTGACAGGAGTGCCCACTGCACTGTGAGGCACAGGTTGGCCCTGCACGTCCCGCCTGCTCTCTCTCCCCTGGTGCTCAGAAGTCCTCAAAGTGGCCTCGGGGCGGGGGTGGTGGTGGTGTCACTGTGAGGCAGCCCCAGCCTCAAGGTCCTACTGGCCCTGGGTGCATTCCTCCAGGGGAAAGTCAGGGAGACTCCGCAGAGGGGTCAGGCAGGGCCTGGTGCTGCCCCCTGGACTGCAGCCCTGTGGGGAGGCTGGCAGCCTAGAGGAGGGACCTTGCTGACCACTAGTGCAGGGTGTCGATCTTACTACTAACACCTGGCTAGACGCTGCCCAGATGTGACCAGCTGGGGCAGCAGGGCCGGGCCAGGCATCAACCCTGCTTCCTTGTCCCCGGCACAACTCCCCCTCCCCTCCAGGCTGCTCCCTGTCTCAGTGCTAAAGGCCAGGCATGCGTGCTCCTCATGTGTGCCCTGGCCATGTTGGGGCCAGTGCTTTAGAGAAGTCCTGTTCACGGAGGGGAGCCGGCACCACGGCTGGGAGCACCAACTGCAGACAGGCCTCCTCCTGAAAACAGGGGGATGAGTGGCACCTCCTCACAGGCCCATTCTGAGGTGTCACGGGAGTACACAGGCCAAGGACAGAGTTTGCGGGGTGGTGGTTTCTCCAGAGGGAGACACTTCCTCAAGGTCAGGTAACTAGACCTGGACTGGTGGCACCAGCGTTCCTCTGGCTGGGCAGAGTGGCCATCACTCCTGACCGGGGCCCTGGCAGGCACAGTGGCAAGCATGTCACCTGCATGTCACCCCCAACTCTGTGTGGCAGAGATCGAGGCCCACGTACAAAGCGGGAGGCCTTCATGTGAACCCTAACTCGCAAGGGGCTTCTCACTTCTGCTGAGGAAATGATCACAGTCCGAGGGCGCCCTCTACCTTGAGCTCGTGTGCTAGGACCACATTGCTCATGCTGTCAGCCTGCAGGCGGAACGCGTGCTCCCGCTTTTGCATTTCAGATTCAAACTCCTGGAGCAGCTCCTGGAACAAAAAGAGCTGGTGGTGAAAAGAGCACGGTGGGGCCAGCAAAGACCCACTGGCACGCTGAGGGCAGGAGGGACGCAGAGGACCTAGTGGAGGACGAGGTCAAGAGTGGGACTGGGGCCTGTAACGCTGCATGAAGGACATCGGAGGGCTCTTGTTCCCACCGTGGACGTAGGTTTGTCCCTCTCCCCTGTGGTCCTGTGGGGTTTTGCTCTGCACAGACAGAGCTGCTAGTGGACCCACAAGGAGAGACACCAGGCCCATGAGCTCAGAAGCACCCCTCCCAGCAGTTCTGTTGTTGGTTCCGTCTATGTCTCTCTCTAAACAACACGCCACTCTTCCCTCCGCGCTACCTGCCGGCTTCCTGAGCAGCCCCACCCCACACCCCCGACACAGGGCTCACAGCTCCACTCCCCTGGCTGTGTAAGCCTCACCCACGGGCTGAACCCAAAAGTCCATAAACTATTACAACAATAAAGTGATTCACGGCTCACCCAACAGCGAACGATTATGACGGTTCCCATCTCATTTCTCCCAGAGTTTTCAATTCTCTGTCTCTCTCGCCGCCCCTTCTCTGTCTGGTTCTCTCCTGTTTCCTGAGTGGTGTCTGCTTCCCAGGACACACCCCATAATGTGACCCTTTCTTCTCCTGGGGTATGGTCCCTCCAGGGCCCTCAGTCTCCATGCCCATCTGGTCTCTCCCTGGGCTGCCTCACAGCCAGCATCCAGGCCCGAGACTCACAGCTCCCCTAGGCGGTCCTCGGTATTCCTGGATGCCCTCATCCTCTCTCCTGGTTTACTCCTGCTGGAAAGGACCTCCTTCCCCAGCTCAAGAGCTCCCATCAGGGTGAGAGTCCCACGATTCCCTGCCCCACTCGGCCTTCTCCCAGGGGGCTGGAGTAGGAGCTGCCCTCAGTTTCCCTGCCCCACCTCTCTCAGACTCACGGGCTTCCAGGTGAGGCTGCCAGCTCAGCCCTGTGACTGGGGCCACCCAGTCCTGGGGACCCGCCCAGCTCAGGCCCCCATTCTCCTGGCAGCCTCCTCCACTCCATCTCTTGGTTCTCAATGTTCTGAACTCAAAAGGGAAACAGAGGCAGCTAAAGGCTGACCCCTCGGCCCCGACACACAGCCACGCTGCACAGGGCTCGCTCAGTAGTTACACTCCAGTAACTTCCTGAGAGGCTGTTACCCAGCCAGAGGCATCCACACCCTCACACCCCAGGGCCCCGGGCTTACATCTCTTCCCCCAGCAGTGCTGAAGACCTTGTCATGTGTCTTCTGTCCCAAGCTGAGGTTGAGGAGTTTGGGCCAGGCTCTGACTCTACAGGTTTTCTGGACGTTTGCAGCACCTCCTCTTTGTTCCTCTGAAACCCCTTTTGCTCATGGCTCTGGGGGCCTTTCAGTCTGAAGTCTCCACCCTGAGAAGTGGCTATGATGTTTACTTGATAATCTGACACCTTCCTGTTCTCTGCTGTATGTTTCTGGAATTTGTATTGTTAGATGAATCCTGGATTTATCCTCCATGTCTCTTAAATTCTCTCTTGGATTTTCTGTGTCTTTTTTCCATTTTCTGAATTAATTTCTTTATATATACTTTTATTTTTTTAATTTTAAATATTTATTTATTTATTTGGCTGCTCTGGGTCTTAGTTGAGGCACGCGGGATCCCCGTTGCTGCATACAGGCTCTTAGTCATGGCATGGGGGATCTAGTTCCCTGACCAGGGATTGAACCCGGGCCCCCTCATTGGAAGTGTGGAGTCTTAATGATGGCCAGGGAAGGCTCTATACATACTTTTAATTGTCAAAATTCTTTCTTGTTATGATTGGCCCTTCCTCCTGGCATCCTGAGTTACGGATGCAAAATACACCCCTGGGGACACTGATCTCAGGAAGCCCCCACAATGTGCTCTTAGACACTGAAAATGAAGATATAATGTGATGAGTGGCTGGCTCTGTCCCCACCCCATTCCCAAGAGGCTCAAGTTCTCACCTTGGGGGAACGACACAGGAAGAGCCTCATGGGAAGGAGGGAAATAGCCAGCCCCTGCCCTGGGAGCAGGAAGGTGGCTACTCTCCCAGCCCATCCTCCAGGACTGGGCTGACAGGAGTTGCAGGATCACTGGCACTGGCTGCGGAGCCCAGGAGGCCACAGCACCAGAGCTGCCCACGCAGACAGCTAGACCAACACGGACAACCAATTGCCATGCCCGGGCAAGCCTAGCACGGGCAGGGCCACACGGCCCTCCGTGCTGCCTCACACCTGAGCTGATCACACGGCGGCGGGTTTTAGGATCTCTGTCTCGGGAATCATCTCTGTCCTACCCAGGGTCATTTTCCCTGTTCCTCTGGGCCTCTTCTTATGTTGCTGGCATTTCTCTGTCTCGTAATCCTGCCTCAGTTATATGCTCCTACTCAGGAATGAGGCAATAAAAAGTTCACTGGGATGTTGAAATTAAAAAACACCTGCTATTCATAAGAGACTGTTACAAAAAGGGAAAGGAAAGGCACAGAATGGGAGAAAATTTTTCTTTTTGGCCACACCCCGTGGCATGCAGGATCCTAGTTCCCCAACCAGAGATCAAACCCATGCCCCCTGCAGTGGAAGCGCGGAGTCTTAACCACTGGATTGCCAGGGAAGTCCTGGAAGAAAATATTTGAAATATATATACCTAAGAACTTGTTTCTGGAATATATATGCAGAACTCTTACATATCAGTAATGGAAAGACAAATAACCCAATTTTTTTAAGTACAAGAAAGCTGAACAGACACTTCACAAAGGATATATGAATGGCCAGTAAGCATGTGAAAAGATGCTTAATCTTTGATCATCAGGGATAAGCACATTAAAACCACAGTAAGACACTACTACACAACCACTAGACTGGCTAAAGAGAAAAAGACTGACAACACTAAGTGCTAGCAAGGACGGGGAGCGACTAGAACTCTAATCTGCAGCTGGTGGAATGTGACGCTACAACCATCTTGGAGGACAGCTCGGCATTTTCTTAAAAAGTTACTCACAGCCGTAGGACACATCGCAGAAATTGCACTCCTGGTCATGTAGCCTGTGTCCATTCAAAGACGGCCAAGGATGCTCACAGCAGCCTCATTCGAAATGGCCCCAAACTGGAAACGACCCAAGTGTCCAAAATGTGCGTTGACAGAGAACGGAAAGAGACTAGCACCTCCGCACAACACAGCACTGGCACCGAGAAGGAACAAGCTGCCAACTATATGACAACTACGAGCCTCAGACACGTCACGGTGAGAGAGAAGCCAGACAAAGAAGGGCACAGTGCGCGGCTCCATTCTCACAGGACTCTCCGAAAGACAGATCTCGCCGCAAGGGGCAGGAAGCAGGCCAGTGGGGCCGGTGCCAGGGGTGCTGCTCCCTGACTGCAAAGAAGCACGTGGAACTTTGGGTGGCAGTAAAGTTCTGCCTTGGTTGTTACTCAAGTACCTGTGTTAAACCTTGTTGAACTGCACGCTTAACATGGGTGCATGGACTGTAGGAAATTACAGCTCAATTAAGTTGAATCTTCGCAGAGCCGACTGAGGTCGCTGCTTCCCTAATGTCAGGTCTGCGTTGCAGACAGGGCCCACACAGCCGCCTTCCTTCTCCCCATGGGTAGTTCAATTTCTGTAAAGAAAACTGTGCTGAGCTTCTGTCTGGGGAAGGAGCTCCTGGCTGCTGGGCACTCCATCTGCACATGAGGGGGGTGGTTCGCGGCCCCAAATACAGACATCCACCTGCACGTGCATGGCCCCTGGTGTCCCAAGGCCTAACCTCTCTGAGTCTGTAGGCCCACTGGCTGCGCTTCCCACAGGCCCGCTCCCAGGTGCTGCCCCCGCCCTCCCCGGGAAGGCGCAGGCTCACTCATCCGTGTGCTGAGGCCCTTCTCCTGCTCCCGTCACTGCTGTGGGTTCTCACTGTCCTTAGTCCTTTATCGTCTTGTTTACAGTGGTGACAGGAGAGCAGATGCTCGTGGCTGATGTGCCCTATGGACGGGAGGTCTGGATACAGATGCAGAAATCACACACTGAGGGACAGAGTCAAACTGAAATGCACATCCTGGAAAGCACAGCGCATGGAGAGCCCAGCACACTAGCAGGATTCCAGGTTTCTGACCAAGTAATGAGGCCCCTGCTTTTGAAGAGGCTTGGACAGACTCAGCCTCCTGAAGGAAAGAGTCGGGGAAGGCTGAACCCAGCCTGAGCGCGCCGGCAAGAATGGGCTCGTCTGCCTCCGCCCTGCAATAAACTCCACAGCAGCCTCCCTCCCCTCCTCGGAAGGTGGGGGGCCTCAGAGACACCATGCAGAAGTACAACTGAAAACATATTTTTTTTATCCCTTGAGAAGCAAGACGAAGTATAAGGGGTCACACGAGCAACCCTTGTTGGGATCAGAATATGAAAATCATTGAGGTTCACTCCTAACGCTACAAAATACTGAAGCACTTGGTTTCTGCTCCAAGTTCTGCAGTCTGTGGCTGCCAGGGGGCAGGAAGCCCTCGCACAGGCAGAGCCTGGCCCAGACCAGCGGGCAAGCATTTAGTGTCCTTGGTGAGAAAACAAGAAAGCCACCACCCCTGCACGCACTGCTGCGTCCAAGTCCACTCCCCATCCCCACTTCACCCCAGAGGCACGCGGCTCAGGCCCGCCTCCCGACCACCCTCTTCTCTTGCTCCTGGGGGCCCCTCTCCTGCTAGTCCCCCACCCATGCCCCTGCCCTGTGCCGATGTCCCCGGCTCAGCCTGGATGGCTCCTCTGCCTACAGTCACCCTTTGGGGGTGCCCCAGGTTCCTAGCTCTGTACCCTGTGGCCCACCTGCTCCATCCTGACCTCCCAGTTTGTCCACCTGGGAGCGCAGAAACCACTTCCTATGCAGCCCGACCAAGCGCCCTCCCCATCCTCCCTGTGTGGTTCCCCCATCTCCAAACAGGGCAAGTCATCCCGCCAGGCACTCAGCCCCAAACCAGATGTGTCCTCGGCGCCTGCCTCTCACCCCATCTCATCTATCAGCGTGTGCACTGGCTCTGCCGTCTAGGTGTATCCAGAACCTGCCAGTGGCTCAAGCCCCGCCCCCTCACCTGGGGCTGCGGCAGCCTCCTCCTGTCTCCCTGCCTCCCCAGTCCCACAGGCTGTCCTCAACCCAACAACAGAGGATCTTTTAAAAGCTCAACTTGGCTCACAAGCCCCCAAGAGTTTCTCACCTCACTTGGAGCAAAGGCCATCCTCACGAGGGCCTGGGAGGCCTACACCGCTGCTATCTCAGCCCCCTTGAACTTGAACTCTGACGCCAACTGAAGGCGGGCTCACAAGTCCTCTTCTCAGGGTGCCCTTCCTGACCTGCCTATTAAAGATCAGCCCCATCCACCCTGCCTCCCTGTGTTATGCAGGTGACGTCCCTAGGATGCTACAGCCAGAGCCTGTAATGTTCGGGTGTCCACTGTGCCCCCACAAGGGCCAGCTCACTCTCAGGGCAGGTGGGGCCCCTGCTCAGCCCTAACCCCAGGGCCCGGGATGGTGTCTGGCAAAGTCTATTTGTTAAATGAATAAATCAATAAATCACTGTTTCTCCTCCAGTGGCTTCTAATCCTGTGACTGCTAACCAACAGTGAAACACCTTAAGCCCACAGTCTACAGCTTACAAACTCAGCTCCCGTCATCTTATACTTCTTTCTTGAAAATAAAAATCACTATTACCATTGCATCAATTCTACCTTTGACAAGTCAATAATGAACACAAAGATCTTCAGAAAAAGGAGACGGGAAACCAGCCCAAAGGAAGCCCACAAAGCTGATGAGCACATAAGGCCCTTTCTTCAGTCACAGAGAGTCGGGCGTGGGCAGCACAGCCCTGAGGCTGGCGTGAGCCCCAGCTGTCCCTGAACCACACTAGGCAGCAAAGGCTGCCCAAGTTCCTGGCAGCAGCTCTGGATGGAGCCCAGAGCTGGAGAGTCCAGACGTCAAGTTTCCTTCCTTCCAGAGACAGGGCTGGTATAAAAACTCCCATCCGGAGGTGCCCTCCTTGTGGACAAGGGGGCTCAAAGCCTGAACAAGCCTGAGTCGGAGCAAGGGCTCTGAGTGTGGACAGGCTGGGAAGCCACCCACAGACTCAGCCCAGCGACCACAACTCCCACCAGGGCACTGCTGCCTCCAAGTGCCACTGACTGTCCTGCTAACTGGGACACTCCCACCACTGCCCAGAGCCCTTCCGAAACTCCTTCTTTGGAAGGGACTCCAATGCCACTTGAGGAAACCTCATGACTTAGATGAGTCATACCTGGTCTTGATCACTCAGCTCATGCCCCAGTGACCTTGGACTGTTTCCAAAAGTCAAACCCGCCCATAATGGAAAAGTTCTTTGGTCCCTGAGGACTCCAAAAGAAAGTCCTCTGCAGGAAATTTCAAATGTTCTAAGCGATGATGGCATCATGGACAGTAAAATTCAAGCTTCCAAGAGGGGAAGGAAAGGGCAGGGCCCCCTCCTCCACCAGCTGTGGTTGGTAGATGCGGCCGTGCCTGAAAGCTCGGTCACAAGGACAGTTGTGTCCATGGGCGCCTTCCATCCTGATGGGTACAGCACATCAGGATGCTGTCCTATCTCAGGACACTGACGCTATGCTGTGGGACAGAGGGCCCAGCAGTCAGGCCTCAGTCTGCCAGCTGACAGGTCTGTCCTCCTTGAGAACCGCTGACCCCAGTGCCCGAAAAGGAACCAGCACAGGCAGGCACACCATTCACATCTGCCCAGTGGCACATCCACTGGAGAGACTAGGGGCCTAGTTCAGAGCTCAATGGCTCAGTCAGCCAATCACTCCAAGTCACTCAATCACTCCAAGAAGGACAGAAGTGAGGGCACAGACAGGTTGACTTCTAGATCCAGCTCCTCTCCAATATCACAGACACAGTCTAAAAATAAGGCGTGGGCTTCCTTGGTGGCTCAGTGGTTAAGAATCCGCCTGCCAATGCAGGGGACACGGGTTTGAGCCCTGGTCTGGGAAGATCCCACATGCCGTGGAGCAACTAAGCCCGTGCGCCACAACTATTGAGCCTGCGCTCTAGAGCCCACGAGCCACAACTACTGAGCCTGCGTGCCTAGAGCCCGTGCTCTGCAACAAGAGAAGCCACCGCAATGAGAAGCCCGCACACCACAATGAAGAGTAGCCCCTGCTCGCCGCAACTAGAGAAAGCCCGTGCACAGCAACAAAGACCCAGTGCAGCCAAAAATAAATAAATAAAATAAATAAATTTATAAAAATGAGGCGTGAGTTGTTATCCTGTGGCAGGATGACAGTACCTAAGAGTTCTTGCACTGGAATTGTCTTGGACTCAAATTACGGCTCCGCCACTTACTGAGGGGGATCTTGGGCAGGTTACTTAATGTTTCCCCTATCTGGAAAATGTAGAACAAAATTGTGTCTCTGTTGTGTTGAGCGGATAAATTCACACACACGCACAAGGAGCTCCATGAGGCAGTTTCTATAAACACCAGTCACTGCTACAATGACACAAGCTTGGCACATCCTGGAAGGAGACCAAGGGTACCCATGTCCTTGCATACACGCAGCCCTGCCAGACATGGACTTCGGCCATAAGTGTGAAGGATATCCTTCACCCAAACCCCAACATAGCTGAGTCTCTGAGTGTAGGCTGAGTTTCAATGACACCAAGGAGAAATTTTGGTGACAGGTTTAAGTGTCACCTGTCAGCTGATACATCTATATTTAAACTTATTTACTGCTTTGTTGAAAGAAGTACAGTTATCACAACTTGAGCTCCCAGCTCTTTTCCACAGTAAATAACTCAAACTTTAACTTTATAATACTTTTTTCTAAAATAAATAAAGGAGGAAATGTTTATTCTATTTCCAAGGAAAGAGAACCCTGGGGGAGTTACTACAGAGGAAGATTTAGACACCCCATCACACTTCCCCACAGATCACCATAAAGTAGAAATCTGTGATCCCAGGATACCATACGGCTAACAAAATGGCCTTCTCCAACTGGTACAATTTTGGTTTCAGAGAGGGCGGGCAGGGTGGGCACCTGAGGAGGAACTGGACCCCACGCCCTACCTGCCGCTGCAGGGCAAGTTCGCTGTCCAGCTCCTCCAGCCTCCTTTCCAGCTTCCACTTCAGGTTCCCATACTGCTCCCGCTGCTGGTCCAGCTCACTGTTCCTGTCACTGTGTGAAAAGTGCAGTGTTAAGAAAAGTAACACTGAAGAGTCTCCAAACTACACATTTGCAGGGTCACCTTTGCAAACATGAGGTGACAGGTGATGCTTCACTTTTGCAGGGGTGGCTTTGGCAGGACCCAGGGGACCTACATGCTGCACCTGGACAGGTGACTGCCTGCAGAAGAGTACGTGATGTGGGATCCAGGCTCTCACAACACAATTCCCAAAGTGCCTAAGATACAATCAAAAGTCACCAGTCATACCAAGAACCAGGAAAATCTCTACCTGAATGAGAAAACACAATCCACAGATGTTAACACCAAGATGACGCAGATGCTGAAATGATCTAACAAGGATTTTAAAGCAGCCGTCATAAAGATGCTTCAACAAGCAATTTTGCACAGTTTTAGGACAAATGGAAATCAGAAACTCTCAGCAAAGAAAAAGTAACAAAGAATCAAATGGAAATTTGAGAACTGAGAAGTACAATAACCAAAACAAAGGACACCCTGGTTGGGCTCAAAGGCCGAATGAACATGTTAGAGCAAAGAACCAGTGAAAAACAAAAGTTACCTGACCTGTTAATAGAAATAGACTGAAAAAAATGAGCAGAGCCTCAGAGACCTGTGGATAACAAAAGATGTGACACTCACATGGTCATCACTGCAGTCCCAGAATGGAAGGAAAAAGAGGGTGGGGCCAAAAATGTACTTGAAGAAATAACGGTTGAAAATGTCCCCAATTTGGTGAAAAAGAATGGGCAGAAGACCTGAGGAGACACTTCACAAAACAGTGTACAGCACTTCAAGGCTGCAGCAGAGCGCGCAGCTGAGGCCTGACCTCCCTTCTCACCGTGAGCGGAGCCCACAAGCCTGACGGCAGCTTCAGGGTCTCAGTCGACTTGCCTCAAGTCAGCTCACTTAGTTTTGGATTTAATATATATTCCACACCATTAAAATAATCATAAGCTCAAATATGTTTTATTATAATTATACAGATTTGTAAATCATGGGGAAAAATTCCAAATAGTTGAACAAATCTCCACTAATTTCAGCCACACTGGGACCCAGAAAAAGACATCCAGGTGTGGCCCTGCCTGCCTTCCCTTGACAAACACTGGACAGGTGGGCGCCGGGCAGCGCTGTGGGGCAGGAGGCGTGTGGAGGGTCGGGGAGTGGGGTCTGCTGGCCCTCACCTGTGGACCCGCTCCAGCTCTAGGCGGTGTTCCTGCAACCTCTGCTGGGACTGCTGCTGCAGATCCTCCACCCGCCGGGCCTCGCCGGCCAGCGCCTGCCTCAGCTTGGCCACCTCGATCTTGAGCTCGCTCACCTCGGCCTGCCTGGCCTCCTCCAGCCCACGGGCCCGGGCAAATGCAGCGTCGTAGCGCTCCAGCTCCCGGTCCCGCTCCTCCAGCACTTGCAGGTTGTAGACAAAGTCCTCCCGCAGGCGTCGCAGCTTCCCCTGTGCCTCCTCCAGCTGGCGCTGAGCGTCCTGCAGGGCTGCCTCCCGCAACTGGGAGTGCTGGGCCTGCAGTGCTCGCCACTCCTCCTCCTTGCGAGCCAGCAGGGCATTCAGGGCCTGCTCTGTGGGCGGGGGCAGCATGTCGGCAGCTGCAGCAAACAGGAGGCAGGCAACGGGTTCACCGTTAGGGACCCTGTCTTCCACAACACACACCTCAGATCCCCAACTAAATGATCGCTGTCACCAAAGCAGGAGGATGCTCTGGCCAGTTACTGGCTTTCTGGTCACACTCTGAGTTCTGGAGAGCCAAAGGCAGCTCCCCTAGGCTCCAGCAGGGTAGGGGCATACTAGGCCCAGACCCCAAAGGCTCTTTCTACCCTATCCTCACCCTACAGCAGAGGGAACAGACAGTAAGTGCAGGATCACCGAGGTAAGAGAGGAAGCAAAGACAGGGAGTGTTGTTTGCTCACCTACAAAAGCTAGGTTCTTTAAAATAGTTTCATAAAGGCCGCTCAGTAGCTGAGCTGTGACTGGCCCCAGGTGGCCCCTGAGCTAATGCCCCTTCCCACCCCCATGCTCTACTCCTGGAGCTGGAATGCAGGCTCCCGGAGATTCACCACCCAGAAGCAGGCCCCTCTGTTCTTGTGTTTCCAGTCCATCGTGCACTGATACTTTTGTAAAACACAATAAAGTGCTAGAACAAAAATGAAAATTACAAAAACGAAGATATATAATACACAACTCCGATTTTTTAATTATTAGATTCAACAGCATAAAACTACTTTGTCAAGTTGCCAACAAGTGTCTGAAGACCTCTTGCTTCCCGTCTCCACAGAGGATGGCCCACAAGGGGCAGGGCCGGTGAGGGTTGCTCCCCACCAGGGCACCTCCACCACTGTCCTGGTCCCATCACCTGGCAGAGATGGGGTGGATTCTGATACGCAGAACCGCTGGTGGGGGTGGGGGGGGAATCTCCTGGGCTTGACTTATGCAATGGGTCTGAGGCCATGGGTCAGGCCCTGCCAGCTACACAACAGGCCCAGAAGGCATAAAGGCTAGCACACGTACCACTGGCATCTTCTGGGGTAGAGGGTGGCATGTGAATGATGCCCGGCTCTGAGAGTGCTTTTCCAGGAAGGCCAGGTGGGGTCTGAGGCAGGCATCCAGCAGTGACTTTTGTGTATCATTGTCCCTAAAGAGTCTGAAATGTCTGATTCATTTTAAGTGGGTTTTTTTTTAAATGAAAAAGACAAACTGTCCCAGGCCATCTCAACCCACAGGGTCAATACACATTCATGGAAACCCTCTTGGGCAGAGGAACAAGATTTCAGGGGCCTGTGAAGACACCCTGCAGGTTGTGGAGGTTCCATGCAGCCCCTCCCAAGGGGCACCAGCAGCATGAATACTGGTCCCCCTTGGTCAATGTAAAGCAAATATCCACAAACTAACACAGAAACAGGAACAGGAGAACCTGAGGGTCTTTTTTAAAATTTATTTTTAACATTACATTTACAGCAAACACTCTCTAAACCAGAAAGAGGACTACTTTTTTTAGAGACATGAAGTTCATTTCACTCCTGAAATTACTGATAACAAAAACCAACAACAGGGGGACTTCGCTGGTGGTCCAGTGGTTAAGAAACTGCCTAGCAATGCGGGGGACACCAGTTCAATCTCTGGTCAGGGAACTAAGATCCCACATGCCGTGGGGCAACTAAGCCCACGTGCCACAACCAGAGAGCCTGCGTGAGGCAACTACAGAGCCTGCGCGCTCTGGAGCCCATGCACCACAACGAAGGGCCCGTGTTCCGCAACAAAAGATCCTGCGCACCGCAACAAAGACCCAATGCAGCAAATAAATAAATATTAAAAGAAAAACAAACCAACAAAGTTCTACAACGAAACCTTACTTTCTAAAACCCAGTGGAGGTAAGAAATGAACAAAATTTTCATTTTACACAACGTTTTGATGGCATCAGGTTTACTGTGATTGAACTCTTCGTAGGGCCTCAATTCAAACACCTGCAGAGTTGCTGCCACCAGCACTGCTCTCCTCAGACAGCCCAAGTCTTGCTTCGCTTATGAGCTGTGGACTCTTTGCCCTGTGAAAGGTGATCACTAATAACAGAACTCATAAAACTCTAGAGAAAAGCAACAAAAAACCAAAAAATAAACACACACACACACACCCTACCAAAAAATTATCTGTGTAATCAAAATTATTACTATTAACATCTTGGAAACAAAATGAAAAAAAAAGTAAAGTGGTCTGGGTTAGTATTTAGAGACTCCCAAAATATTCTGTCAGGACTAAAGAAACAATAAGGTGCGTTTTCTGGAAGAAGATGCGTGTTACGTGCTTGTCTACCCCC